ATATATCATTATTTTGATTTTGATTATTTCTAGTATCCCCGCCCCCCCACTGGCGCATGGCAAATTCGAACGCCCGTCACTTCCCGCCGTTTTGCTTCTCGCTCTTGGCCTGCAACGTCGACCGCCATACTTAGTCCGCTCGTCCCCGCGCTATCTTATCCTCCCTCTCGTCCACTGCAACGGTGTTGTCAGTTGTACTCTCTGTACTCTCTGTACTCTCTGTACTCTCTGTACTCTCTGTACTCTCTGTACTCTCTGTACTCTCTGTACTCTCTGTACTCTCTATACTCTCAACTCTACTACTTCGACTGTCCTCTGCTTTCCCCATATTCTGGTTCCCAGATTCCAACTACCGGATACCACGTTCTTCCTCATTCCCGAGTTCCATCCCTTCGGTTCTTAAGGATATATTCTCCTCGCAATATTCTCTCAATATCTTCTTCTTGATACTTCTACTCAATTGCGTCTTCCTCAATCATCGCCTTCCTTTTATTGTCCTCTTTGGTGGTTCACTCCCGTGTGCTCGTCATCGAACTGTCCCACTCTATCTACCGCCTATCCTTCTGAGCGATGCTTACCTGGTTTCGTCCGCTTTGCTCCTCTTCGCCTCACCTCCTTTAATTTAATTCCAACATTATCCCTCGATAAGAACCGAATTCTTCCTTGGCTCGCTCGACTCGAGATCTTGCGATCTTTTTCATTACACCTCTTGTTCCCTTCTCCCCATCCCTACTTGCCACTTCAACACCGACCATCCACCATGGCTACTCATGTCGTCACCGCTACTACTACCTCTCCCACCCCTTCCGGCAACCAATTCTCCGTCTACGGCCAACCTTCCCCTGTGAATTCGGCCACCGCCACTCCCTCCAACAACTCACCGACGTCTCCGCGGCAACAATATCTCCCGCTCAATAACCGTCAATTGCGCCCGCCCAAGGCCCCCTTGTATGTTCCCGCGGCCTTGCGCCCGACAGAGCGCCCGCAGAAGCATTCACCCCCAACACCTCCACGCAGTGTCCATGGCTCCCTTGACAGCTTGAACGATGGAGAGGAGCAGACTGTCAGTAGCCGCCGCTCCACCATGGACAGCACCACCAGCGGAGGAGTGAGTAGACTGGCTGAGAACGAGTGGATGCGACATGAACATCTGGGCCAGGTGACCGGTCTTCCCACGCGGGATCATTGGAAGGTGAGCATCCTCTCCCCCTTTTCTTCCTCTCCTTTTGTTGTGCATGATCCCGGGGTCGGGATCCTTATATATCCCATTGGATGGCGTGAGCATGCCTCGAGATGTCGCACCAGTCGGTCGATCACGACGAATGGCGTGCTTGCTACACCTCTGATTGTATCAGAATACAATTGAAAACGTGATGCTAACGACATGTGACAGGCTGATGCAGCTTCCCCCAACTGCGACTCCCCCACCTGCCGCTCCTCCTTTGGAATCTTCCTTCGCCGGCATCACTGCCGCCACTGTGGGCATGTCTTTTGCTCCTCCCACACCCCCTTTCACGTCCCCCTCGACCAGTCCGCCCGCTTCCACCCCGACGGGGTGCCGTCGCGGGCATGCGACCTTTGTTGGCACGCCTTCCAGCGCTGGGAAGAGTCTCGCTCCGACCGCCTGAATAAGATTCAAGGCGCGATTGACGAGCAGTCCTCCAGCTCTGGCTCCGACCGTGACCCCTCCGAGACTCAGGAATCCTCGCCGGTCGAGGGCCCTCGAGCCAAACTGGCCGCGATGCTGGGACCCAATCCCAACGAGATGGCCGCAAGCGTTCCGCGCGGCTGGAACTGGAGTACCTTTTAATTTGCCTTACGAACCCCACGCCTGATTTACCTCTTACGATACGATACCACGTCCGCCGTTCCATTGGACATTGCGCTCGCTGCGGACTTACTTTTCTACCCACGCCCGTTCTAGAATAACACTCGCCTTTTTTCTCTTTCTCGACTTGATGCCTCTTTTTTTTTTTCCTTCGTTCAGTGATTCCGTGTTGGAGCCCTGTCTTGTTTGCTTGACTGTTTTGGAGTGCTACCATTTTTTTTTTTTTTCTCTACACGGGTCACTCCCAACCCACTAATGTCATCACGCGATCGTCATAGAGACGGGGGGATATTTCTTTCGTTGCTTTTCCTTGATACTCAGGATACCCCGTCATTTTCTCTTCATCGTTCGGCGATCTTCTGCCATTTCGAGCCTTCGTTTCTGCTGTTTTTTTTTTTTTTTGAGATCGGCGTTGATATTTTTTTACGTTAGTTGGCATGTTGGGTTTTCGGTTATAGAGGAGTTGGTCTGATCGATTGATTTGGGAGGAATTGATAGTTGATATACGATTAATCTATCTATATCCTAACATTACATATTTTGTTACTGTAGTTGTAGTCGTATTGACTTGTTTTATTGAGGGACGCCTTCTCTATAATATACATTGCTAGGTAAGTTCACAAATCGCACCTGTAGGCTGTTGGCGCTGTTGGAGCATACGGTCGCTTAGCTTGAGTTCAATATGTTGTATAGCATGATGATATCAATCTGATGTCGCTCAACCTACAACGACGGTTGAGTTTGAAAGAGGGAGGATCCCACTGGACGACACTAGGCAGGTACTCACTGTGTGTCGCTTAGTAGCGATAGGCTGCATCGCGATAGGAGGTGATGTCTAATAGATCTACTATCCGCGTGATAGTGGATGTGTAGAGGTCACATTAAGGATCTGGCGGTAACGCAGGTGGTGGTATCACCTGACCTTTGTACTCTTTGAGCGTATTGCTGTGTTTATCCAATTCTTGTCTTTATTTCTCTCCTCATTCCCATATCTCTCTCCTTTATTCTCTTCGCTTTCCCTTCTTCTTGCCTCCATCCATCCTTGTCTGCATGATGTTTACATCTGCCTCTGCCATACCCCAGGATAGTGACCGGTTTGTTGGATATAATATCCCAGTCATGAAATGCTCGGGGTTACTTAGTGCTTAGTGACCACAAAGAAGCAGCTTGAAACTGGAATGCTGCATCAATCGCCCACATTCCGAATCCACCCCGGCATTGGGCCGAATTATGTTGGATTCTCGAAAGCTTGGCATGCATTATGCATGACAGCTCGCTTCCTATGACAGTCTGTCTGTCCTCTCCCCCACAACTCTTCCTTTGGTGGATGTTCAGGTTATGGACACCTACTTATCTTCTTTTAGAGAACGACTGCAGTCGATCCTCCAAAGACTGTGGGGTCAAGCTTGGTAGATCCCCGGAATTGAGAGCAGAAACCACGAATCCTTGTTAGTGTCAGGATGTCGCACCGCATAGTTCATCTATCGCCTCGAGTTACCCTTTCACATGACATGGCATGATGCTGCTCACTCTCCGCTTCAGTATCATCTCCACGTGAAGCTTGGCTGATTTCCCCGCATACAAATCCTTCATTAGTCCACTGGATGGACGATCGTGACGGGACCACCCAATGAACGAGGCCACCACCATGAATGAAGCCCTCGCTGACCCACCACCTACCCTTGCCGCGTCCCTGGTTATTTCCTTAGTTTTTGGAACACACCCCCCGAAATCAGTTCATCCCCAACAAATGTCCGCAGCCTCGGCTTTCCCCTCCGTTTCTTCCCCGCGGGATCCCCAGGTTGGCTGCGACAGAAAGATCAGGCCATTGGTTCTCTCTTATTATTCTATTGCAGGCTGAGAAGTTTGTGAGAGACAAAGCTCGAGAATCCCCCCCCACATCGCGTCGCCATTGGTTCACCTGCTACGCCAAGTCCGCTCGCAAGCTCTACTGCTCTGGGCACCCACCAGCTGCTCAACGTGGAGAAGGAAGGCGCTACTACCTGTCAAGTACATTATTTCCCATCTGGGTCGCCGGACAATTGCATTCACTTTCTCTTTTTCACCCACTCGCTTCCTTGACCTTAACTATCATACTACCGGTCGAGCTTCATCACCACCTTTATCTTCTTTTTTCTCTTATTCAACTGTCCTTTCCAATCAACTACCCATTCTTATCCTATCCACCCTCGTGTCACGTTTGAGGACCCTCTGTCATCCACGCAGGATCCTTGCGATATCCGAATTCATCCTGCCTGTGTCTGTCTTGAGATAGCCTGGCGTCATGGCTGACCAGACCATCCCGTACACTCCCTTGCCAGTGTCAATCCCCCCCGTCTCCCAGGAGCAGTTGTTCTCCGAGCTGCAATGGACAACCCTCCTGTCGATCGCCAGCACGGTCGTCCCCAAAATCCGCAGCAGGGGAGGGTCGAGATCCTCGTCCGATAAACAGGTGTCCAAGGCCGTCTATGACCAGGCCCTTTCTTCATTGACTGCTAAAATTCACGACCCGGATGCCGGCGTCATCGCCGCCCAGTATTTGGCAGAAGATGTGTCGACAAACGCCGCCTTTCGCGAGAATATCCAGCGTCTGTTCACGACCTATGTCCACCAAGAGGGCCGAAACGGGATCAGTCTTATCCTGAATGTCCTCAAGTACGTCGTGTTTGGGCGTCCCCGATTGGATGATGTGTGAAGCTAACAGTGTTATAGTACCAAAGCCGGTTCCCTGCTCCTGACTGGGTCCATGACGCCGTTCCAGAACCAACCATTCGAAGTCCGCGAGAATGTCTTCCGCGGATGGGAAACGTCCCGGTTAAAGCCCCTTCGCGCCGTCTTCCGCGCCCTGTCCGCCATCTCCAGGCGGACGTGGATCGTCACCAGCCCTACGGCGTTGCAGGTCATCGGGTTTCCCCAGATTCCTGCCCATGGGCAACCACGGGACAGTCATCCCTATGAATTCCTTGGGTTCCCCGGTGGTGATCGCCCCGAGATCATTGAAACCGACGTGGTGGTCGTCGGCAGTGGCTGCGGCGGCGGCGTGGCGGCCAAAAATCTTGCGGAGGCGGGCCACAAGGTGATTGTCGTCGAAAAGGCCTACCAGTACTCCTCGCGCGACTTCCCCATGAGTTTTGACCAAGGCTTCGTCAGTATGTTCGAGGGCTCGGGGGCGGTGACGACGGACGATGGCACTATGGGCGTGTTCGCTGGATCTGTCTGGGGCGGCGGTGGCACCGTCAACTGGTCGGCGTCCCTCCAGACCCAGGGATATGTGCGCCAGGAGTGGGCCGACGGTGGCCTGCCCTTCTTTACCTCGATGGAGTTCCAAAACAGCTTGGACCGCGTGTGCGAACGGATCGGTGCCAGTTCGGAATACACTCGTCACAACCACCAGAACCGGGTGCTCCTGGAAGGCGCCCGGAAACTGGGATACTCGGCCAGCGCGGTGCCGCAGAACACGGGGACGCACGAGCATTACTGCGGCCACTGCACGATGGGCTGCCGCTCTGCTGAAAAGCAAGGCCCCACTGAGACGTACCTCGCGGATGCGTCCAAGGCCGGTGCGCAATTCATTGAGGGATTCCATGTCGACCGGGTCCTTTTCACCAACACTAAGGCCGGCCGCGTGGCATCTGGCGTCGAGGGCACGTGGACGTCGCGAGACGCGTGGTGCGGTCAGTCTGGGCCGACTGCCATCAAACGCAAGGTCATCATCAAATCGAAGAAAGTGGTCGTTTCGTGCGGGACGTTGCAGAGTCCCCTGCTTCTGCTGCGCAGTGGAATCAAGAACCCGCAGGTTGGCCGGAATCTCCATTTGCATCCTGGTAAGCACCTCTCTCCCCTCCTCTTCCCAGAAAATACCGTTACTGATTTGTGTAGTTGTCATTGGGGGAGCCGTCTTTGACGAAGAGACCCGTCCGTGGGAAGGGGCCGCGCTGACCACCGTGATCGACGAGTTTGAGGACCTTGACGGGCACGGGCACGGTGTCAAGGTCGAATGCCTGACCATGTTGCCACCGGCGTTCCTCCCTGCGTTCACGTGGCGCGACGGCCTGGATTGGAAGATGTGGACGGCCAAGTTGTCGCACATGGCGGGCTTCATCACGCTCACCAAGGACCGCGACACCGGTCGGGTGTACCCGGACCCGGTGGACGGACGATTGCGCATCGACTACACCCCGTCGGCCTTTGACCGCAAGCACATCGTGGAGGGGATTGTGACGGCGGCGAAGGTAGCCTACATCGCGGGAGCCAAGGAGTTCCGCACGTCGTACCGCGACATGCCGCCGTTCGTGCGACCGGACGCGGCCAACACGAATGCCGCCGAAGGCACCAACAACGCGGCGCTGCAGGCGTGGATCTCGGAGCTGCGTCGCAAGACGCCGTGCGACCCAGAGCGCACCATGTTCGCGAGTGCGCACCAGATGGGCACGTGCCGCATGGGGTCGTCGGTGCGCAGCAGCGTGGTGGACCCGGAGTGTCAGGTGTGGGGGACTAGGGGGCTGTACGTGATGGACGCGTCGGTGTTCCCGAGCGCTAGCGGAGTGAACCCGATGGTGACCAACATGGGGATTGCGGACTGGGCGAGTCAGAAGTTGGCCAAGTCGTTGGACAAGCAGATCAGCAAGACTAGGTTGTAAACAATCGTTGTAAGCGTGTACATGACTTGGATATGCATAGCCTGAATTATCATTATTATTTTTATTTACATTAGTCTTCCTTCTTATTCTCCTTTCCTTCTTGTTTTTCCTTACTAGGGTTATCATCTATAGAGCATTTCAGTCTGTGGCGTATCCCAACATAGATGACACCATAATATCCTGGCATGTGGTAAGATCTACGGCGTATAGCAATGGACCCTGCATGATGATTGCATTTATACTTTATATAAAGCTATCCATCAACTTATAGATATTATAGATACCTTATATCTCTCACAATCCAACCTCTAGAGAATCCGTAGCTGCTATCTACGGCGTAGAGTAAACAGTCCCAACAATAACCCCGCAGTAACGGACCAAACACGGCCCATAAGCACCAGTCAACTACAAGCTCTCCACTCTACCCACTGTTTACGTGCTAGTGAAACATTCGACGACATTCGATGACTCTCTTGCTCTTTGTTTGGAGTGGATTGGGTTGTCAACAACCCCGCTGTATTTGTCATCCACTTAAAAATCATGCACCACCCCTAACTGGGTGTGTACACAGTACCTAGTTAGTTATAGTGGGTAATGAAGGTATGTAGCCAATTTGTAATCCGCGATAGTTGAGGGAACTAGCTGAGCTGTCATTTAGATGACCTTTCCTTACTGGGTATTTGAGATCCTGCTGAGATCTATATAAACCCCTCTTTCGTCGTTGTTTTGTTTGGAACTCCACACACCTTACTACCATATCAACAGATCTTTATTTTAGTTTCTATCATACCACCTCATACTACACAATGGCTCCCACTCCGTTTGGTCAGATCTGGAGCTATGCTAATAACCCCAGGGTTATGAAGGTACTTACTCCTCTTCCTAGTCCTACTTGATATCCCGAGATCATGATTTACCCTTCATCTCCTCCCCACCACGACTTGAAACACACACACACACACACACACACACACACACACACACACACGCATACACCTTACAGAAAAAGCCGTTAGGCAAGAAACAGAAAAATAGAACAATGCTAACACAGATAAAAGGCCCAAGCAGCTGCAAACATCAACAACCTCTCCGTCCCCTACGCCCCCGACTTCGTCATGCGCGAAACCAACCAATCCCCCGCCTTCCTCGCCAAATTCCCCCACGGCAAAGTCCCCGCCTTCGAATCCGCCGACGGAAAGGTCACCCTCTTCGAGTCCGACGCCATCACGCAGTACATCGCCGACAGCGGGCCCGCCGCACCCCAGCTGCTCGGCGAGACGCCGCTGCGCCGCGCGCTCGTCAGACAGTGGATCTGCTTTGCGGATGGGGACGTCCAGAACCCTGTTGTGGATCTTGTGTTGCCGCGGCTGAAGTATCGCGCTTTTGATGCCGCTGTGGAGGAGGCGGCTGTTGGGAAGATTGAGAGGGCGTTCCGTACGTTGGAGAAGACGCTTGAGGGGCAGGAGTGGTTGGCTGGTGGGGAGAAGGTCAGTCTGGCGGATATTACGGTTGCGAGTGCCCTGGTTTGGGGGTTCTCGACTGCTATTGATAGGGAGATTAGGGAGAAGTACCCCAAGGTGATGGCTTGGTATAAGAGGGTTGTGGAGACGCAGGGTGTTAAGGAGGCGTTTGGGGTGCTGCAGTATGTGGAGAAGAGGGAAGTCCCTGTTTAGTTTCTCTTTCTCATTTATTTAGCTGGTTAGCTGGTTAGCTGGGTAAATTCTTGGCTGTTTGTCTTGGTCTTCGTCGTTTTTTGATTGTAGATTATACTGTCTTGGTCTTTGGTTGTATGCTGCGCTCGCGGGCTATACTATCCAGCAGGGTTTGAAGCTTGATCCTTAGAAGGAGCTAGATTCCCCCGTATGACCTCCACATCCTCATCTGAAAACCCCAATCGAATAGTCAAATACCCGATAACACCCCCTTCGAACATCCCGTCCAGCGCCTTCAGGAACCCCCTCATCGCCGCCGCCTGCACACCGCACAGCTCCACCAACCCCGGCATCTCCTCCGGCACGGGTGCCCCGACCTGTCCCCGCAGGAACCCCAACAGTGCCGGGCGCGCAGGCTCGACCCCGATCCGCGTGAGGAGGTAGTCGTGCACAATGGCGTCGTCGGAGTAGCCAGCGAGTTTTTCAATAAGGGCGGCGATGACACCTGTGCGGTCCTTTCCGGCTAACCTGAGTCAGTACCTACTATACACTCGCTTTCATTCTTCGCGGATGCGACGGAGTTCGTTGATAAGTGTGTGGAGAATGACAAACCTGAACAATGAAATAGAATAGGCCGCTCCGGATGGTCCCGTATCTGCTGAAACACCGCCTGGAACGCGGGCTCAGCGCACTCCAGCACCCCCAGATACATCTTGACAAACCCGGAGACGCCCCCGTCCGGTCCTGCAAAGTCGCGCGGATTAACCGGCATGGGCGTGAACGCGTACGGGGTCCATATTGTCTCGACGCCAGGGATGTCGGGGCTGGGTGCGCGCGCGCGCTCCTCCGGCCGACGCAGGTCGAAGATCGTGCCTAGGTGGAGGGTATCGACAAGGGCGGCTTTACCCGCCGGCGTGATGTGTGTCAAAGCTCCAGAGCGGTAGATGAAGCCCCGGCGGATTGCGGGGGGGCCGTCATCTTGGGGCGTGCTGAGGTCGCGGAGGTTGAAGAGGCCAGGGATGGAGACGAACGGGCGCTGAGAGAGGATGGTTCCTGTTGGTTGCGGAGGAAGTACCGTGCGGATGTCGGTTGTGAGGAGGGTGGCGAGGTCGGCGCTTTCGTGGTCGTCTTCTTGCGTGGGGGACATGGTGGGTGTGCAGGTCGTTTGGTCTGGTCTTGTCGAGGGATGCGGGGAGGTGGATGTGGGTGTTATACGAGCATGACTAATTCGGCGGGGATGGCTCCTTGTCAGCCGTTGATATAATTCTGGAACTGTCGTATCATGTTCTCTCCTGCGGTTTTATCCAGCTTGCTTTTTCCACATGGGTATTCGTTTCATGTCGTGTCTGCGGAGGACTGTGAGGCGGCGGTGGTGGGGAATAGACGTCATATCCAGCATGCGTAAACTTGGCCTTCACTGTTAGTTTGATTCAACACGACGCTCAGACCTGACCGGGCCATTGTCAATGGAGATGACAGGCCAATGGGTCCACTTCAAGCTTTTGATCTATTCTAGGGCGTGCAGGTCTGGGCAAGAGAGGAAGAGGTAAAAATAGATGAACGACCCAGCAGTCTCAAACAATACAAACAGCATATTGGATGCATAATTATATAATGTTGCACAACTCGATATGCACAGTGCTCGTATCATATCTCCGCATATCCCCGCACTCATTCATCCATCCCAAGTTGCGCAACAGCCTAGAGCTCCTGAACTTGCAGTGCTATGGCAGACCTGACGGCAGCATCTAGTCAATCATCTCCACAGTTCATGAGCCTACCCCCAGAGATACACCTCCTCATCTTCCACTACCTCCCCTTCCCCTGGAACACCCACCTAAAGTTGACATCCTCCTACTTCAACTCGCTCCTCCCACGTCTCTCGCACCAGGAGCTTCTCCAAGCGGAGAAGTCCCGTTACGCTACATTTAGACATCTTTACGCTTGTCGGTGCTGTCTACGACTGCGCCCGGCGGACCGGTTCGCGCGACGCATGCTCGAGCGCCGAAGAAGCCGCGGCGGTCGCGATGCAAGGAAGCGCTTCTGTGTCGAGTGTGGGCTGACTCCCCGCGCTGAGTCGCAGGAGGCGAGGTATGGGAGGGGTGCTATCATTGATATACAGGGTGTACTCTATGTGGTGTGTATGGCTTGCCGGAAGCTTGGCATTGCGTGGAGGGAAAAATGGGGGAATATGAGTTATCTGTGTGAGAGTTGTGCCAGAGCAAGGGTGCTGATGGGGAAGGGGGGGGAAGAAAATTCTGAGGCGAAGGAGGGTGGGGATAAGAAGCAAGAGTGTGAGACTACAGAGCAAGTATGGAAAGTCTCCTCCCTGGTGTAGGTCAACGTATAAGGACAATATATCTGACGTTCGTTCTAACAGGAACCTCGCTCTGTTAACCCTGTCGGGCAGGATCTGGTGCGGGCTTGTTCAGCAAAAAGTGGTCAATCTCCGCCATGACCTCGGGCGTCAGTTTCGGTAGCAATGCCAGACTTTGCACATTATCAGCAATCTGCTCCGGTCGCGACGCCCCCGTGATCACTGACGAGACGTTCTCGTTCTTCAGACACCACGCGAGGGCTAGCTGCGACAATTTCACCCCCAGCCGGTCAGCCAGCTCTTTCAAGCCCACGATCTTGCGAATTGTATCCGCCCACTGTTCACCGCCCCATTCACTCCGCAATTTACCAATATAGTCATCCCGACTCACGGCGAATCGCGATCCCGGCGGTGGTTGTGCCGTTGCGTCGTTGTACTTGCCGCTTAGAACGCCCATCTTCAGCGGAGAGAATGTCGTCAATCCGATGCCACACCGCGAATACAGGCGTTGGAACTGACCCTCGACCTTCTCGCGATCGAGCATATTATACTGTGGCTGTTCCACGATGGGCGCAATGAGTCCCAGTGACTTTGCGATCCCACATGCCTCCATGATCTCGTCCGCAGACCACTCCGAGGTTCCCCAGTAGAAGGCCCATCCTCTATCAATCACATGGTTGAATGCGCGCACTGTCTCCTCCATCGGTGTCAGGCGATCCGGGCGGTGCGCGTAGATGATGTCGACATATTCAAGTTGCAGGCGCTCCAGAGATGCCCGCGTACCCTCGATGATGTGTTTTCGCGAAAGACCGTGGTTGTTAATGAGGATTTCGCCATTGGCGAGGCCCCAGTTGAGCTGGTTGTGTTAATAGCTGGCTAACACTATATTTGAGCGTCCCTGCGAACCTTGGTGGTGATGACAATATCGCTTCGTTTCCAGCCAAGCTTTCTGATAGTGTGGCCCATGACAATCTCGGATTGTCCGCCTGCATAGCTGGATTTCTAGAAGTCAGCTTTATCCGTTCGCGAAAATGACATACAGCATGTATCTACCTCTCTGCCGTGTCGAAAAAATTTATCCCACAGTCGTATGCCTGTTTCATGCACTCCAATGTCGTCTCTAAGTATGCAATACCCATCAGTCGCCAGAACTCAGTCGTCCAGGATAAAAAAAATCCATACGGTTCTCAACGTGACCTCCAAAACTACCAACCATGTAAAACAGGTAAGCCAAACATCAGGCACACCTGTTTAAACAACAGGAGGAATAGGCGATACTAACGTTAACCATCCTCCCAAACCTATAGCCGATACATGTAGGCCCGAATTACCTACTCGTCGGTAGAGCATATCTTTATTTTTGTTCGGCCACGCCATTTCGTTAGGAATATCTAAGCTGACAATGTAGAAGGTTTCACAACGCAGTTCGTTAACTTCTCCCCCGCACTCGAGGGGTAGGTGGTCAATTTATGCAAATGGCACTGAGACCCGCTAGCTTAGCTTGTACCAATCATGAGTACATTGAAAGCTTGAGTGAGGGGTGGGATGCTATTCGGAGAGAATGTCGTCTTAGCGTTTGGGCCGATTTTTTTTTAATGAGGACCACTATGAGTACCCGGAGGAGTTGGCCTCTATAGGTGGGTATGTTGTGTCGTGACTAGTGAAGGTGGGGAATTAATGATACTCGAAGTAGCTTGCAAAGTGACTGATTCTTGTCAATAGTTGGGTAATTTCTTCCAAGAGGGGTCATCGTCCCATATAATCTACCCCGCGCTTTGCATATGCTCTCGAATACATGAAGTCCCATGAATCTTGAAAGCTTTCTACCCATTAGTTCCAGAGCAGCTATGGTTTGATTTTACTCTGTTTCTATTGACTTATTATGACGCAGGTCAACTAAACACCCATTCTGGAGCTGGTATCTTGTCCCTACGAGACATCCCAAAGTACACTACACAGTCATGCAGATTCCGTGGCAGATGGGGTTACAGCTCATACCTCAGCAATGGCGTGTCGTGCGGAGAGATTAGCGTAATCACTACTTGAGCGAACATTGGCTGTCTATCATGACCCCTGCTATCGTCTAACCGGATATGGTTTCTCTGGTATACTGGATTATTCCCCGCCCCGTAATGAGAGAACTGAACTTGAATGCCACCGAAAAGTTTATACAAGTTTTGTCTAGTTCGTGCTCTTTTTTTTTTTTTCCTTGCGCAGACACCGTGGTCGTTGGACCGGCTCCAGGCTTACATTGTTGATAAATGACCTGAGCCAGATAGCCATACTCATAAAAAGTCTGCCTATCTGAGGAATATGCATCCATTGCACAATGCGGAGAACGAAGCACATCATCGTGAAGAGCCTGCCTCTGAACCTTGGGAGCGGGGAAGAGGAGTGGAATTAGCGAGTAGCAGCTGCATCTTGCCTCAAGGACATGGCTATCAGTGCAATGTGTGGTGTGATAGACGATAAGAGGATCACCGGCTTGTCGCTTTTCTATACTTCTTGTCGAGATATAAGGGACTATTTCTTTCTGTACTGTATAGTGTGCAGGGGAATATATGTTGGATATACGGAGTGTTTTAATACTCGATATCTATCAGATCGTGGCTCTCTCAAGAATCAATACACACTAGCGACACCCATATCACGAATCCACGAGACGCCATCAACTCAACCTCCGTCAATATCTAATATTATTGTTATTGGATAGACTACACTCACCATGCCAGCTGTCGATGCGAGTTCCATCATCGGAGGCGCAGAGCAATCTCGCCCACGCATTTCACAACCGCTCGAATACTCAGGCAATCTCGATCTGTACACCTACTCTGATCTAACTCCAGTCATTGGAAGAGAGTATTCGGGACTTCAGATTGTGGAAATCTTAAAAGATGAAATCTGTGACCAGATCATCAAAGACCTTGCTGTAACCAGTGAGCAGAGTCCTTCTTTTCTTCATAACACGAGTCCCACCCGAGAAACATACCAATATGATATCCAGTATCAAGCCGGGGCGTCGTCTTCCTGCGCAATCAAGACATCACTCCCCAGCAGATGCGTGAGTTTGCGGAGAAACTCACCACAACAGCCGGATGCGTAAGTCCTTCACCATCTATCTTCAAATATGAGACCACTATTCCAACAGCCCAGTCCCACCTCACGGAATGTACACCCACTAAACAAACCAGCAGCCTCCCTCCTCAACCCTCCACGTCCACCCCCTCACAGAAGAAGGCAGCGAACTAGGCGACCAAATCAGCGTCATCAGCAGCGAGAAGCAAAAGACCGGCGGCGGACTAACCCACCAACTCAGCGACTCCAGCCGCCTCGCCTCAGCAGCCTGGCATACCGACATCAGCTTCGAACGCGTGCCTTCCGATTATTCCATGCTCAAGATCCACACCCTGCCTCCAACAGGCGGCGACACCCTCTGGGCCTCCGGATACGAAGTGTACGACCGGCTATCACCGGGGATGGCTGCGTTTCTGGAGACGCTGACGGCGACGCATGACGCGAGCTTCTTCCACGATGAGGCGAAAAGATTGGGGAATCCGTTGCGTGTGGGTGTTAGGGGGTCGCCACTCAATTGTGGGGGGGAGCTTAGTGCTGTGCATCCTGTTGTTAGGACAAACCGTATGTCTCCCTTGCTTTCTCTCCGTCCGGTTCCTCTGTATGTTTCTTGAAATGATACGCTAGACTAATTAACTATAGCTGTCACTGGCTGGAAATCCGTATACGTGAACAAAGGCTTCACCAAGCGCATCAATGGAGTCACCAAAGATGAATCTGACATGCTCCTCCAGTACCTGTTCAACGTACGTCGATCCGTCCTTTCAATTATATCAGCATATACATACCTAATACTGACAATGGACAGCTCGTGACCCAAAACCATGACGCTCAGGTCCGCTTCAAATGGAACCGGAACGACATGGCTATCTGGGACAATCGCTCAACTTGGCACTGCGCCACGTATGATTATGCGGAGGCACGCGCCGGTGACCGCGTGTGTAGCATTGGGGAGGCGCCGTATTTGGATTTGAGGTCCAAGTCGAGAAGGGAGGCTTTGATGGTGTAATCCATTGAGTGCTGGAAAGAGAGGGGGGTGGGCAGTGTTATACAGATATATATTATGCATGCGTTGATATAGGATATGGTCTCTGTATAAACCTTTCCTCTTTCGTGGTTAGGGGCATGCTATTGCCTAGCATCGATCACCACAGATGCTCGCCCTTTTAAGTCTCTTCTCCTCAATCGGATGGATGTGGGGTTTAGGGCAATGCAAACTACGAATCTACGACATGGATAATAACCAGGTGGGCATGATTGGGCTGTGTATTGTATGTGATCAGCATTTGAATGTCAAGAACAATGGCTTAGCATAACAGCTTCAAAATCACTCGGGGTATATAGGTCTGGATGTACTCCGTAGATGGTTTTCATGTACACCCCTCTCGTTGACCGAGTCCAAGAATATGGCATGAGCCGGATATTGGTGGGGTAATGACCGGTAAATTACTAGTAAACATACGACATCTTATCAGATGGGTCTGAGCGAGGCACCGGGTGATGTCGGATATTTTTGTTTGTAACTGATTGCTCATGGGCATGGAGAGGCGTGAAGAAGGGAGGGGTTTCTGTTTAGTTTAGTTTATTTACCAGTAGATATTTTCAGCTGGAAGAGAAATTGAGTCTCAGTAAAATCTTGCTTTCTTCCCGTCCACCGGAGATTGAAGCCGTCTTCCATGGTTGAATTAAATGGTTTTATCAGATCCGAACTCAGACCTGCGTTATCTGATTTAAACAACGTCTCTTGCTGATAGTTACTGAACCGAGCGTTGGATTTGTCTTGATGGTTTAAAGAGTTTCGTTTCATTTCTGCATTTATGTTTCTTCGTCCATATTCAGGATATACTAGGACTGTCAGTCCTTGACGATCGATCTGACCGGGACGAACTTTCTGTACAAATGCTATATACACATAAATCGAGAATACGCACGAGAGCTACTTTCTTCTTCTCGTAGTTAGTCAAGCCTAAGAGTATATCCAAGGTTATCAGTGAAAAGATCTCATAAATCCACTACTCAATCTGTCAGTAATGGACTCTACAACACTTGGAGGCATTTTCGAACGCGGGGCATAGTTCTTTGGCGGATGCGGCATTTACACGTATCACTTATTAAGATCATCTCGTGGTGTGGGAGGGCCAAGGAAAAGAAATGAAAGCGTTTGAGCCCACCCGGGAGGGTTGCCTCAATCGGATAGAGTCCCATTAGGGTCTCCGTGGTGTTGTGGAGATGCGAATCGGATTTCAACACATTACATTACACGCCTCACGTCTTGCCAAGATAGTTACAAACAAAGACTCTGAATTTTCCTTTATTTCTCTTTCTCTCACACTCTCTCTCTGTTTTCTTTTCTTGTTCAATTCTTGGCTCTGGTAATTTATATAGTCTTGTCAGATCTCAAGCACAGCTCGAATTCCTATCGAATGAGCCAATAGATCAAAACCGACACCGGCTGTAAATCCGGTGGGGCTCGGAGGTTTCTGCCATGCGAAAAAATTGAACAATGCTTGGCGGTCGCATCTGATTAGATGCCCGTCTAATCTGATTGTGTTTTGCTTTTTTGCATCATCTTGGTAGGATTCACTTGTAATGGGGTGCGATACTAACACACTGCCCATAATCGTCAGTTCCATAGTACCTCTACATGACATCAAACAAAACCCAGAACACTCGGAGTATACAAGCGACAGTAATATACACCAACCCGATTATCCCACAACAAATTGAAATGTCGTCGCTTGCTGCCGCCCTCGTTGGCTTGGCGCCGGGAAGAGGGTTGGGAATGCCCACCGCTTCGCTCGTACGGAGGATATGGTATGCCGATCATGGTCGTCGTTGGGAGAGCTGAGTGGCTCGCTAAGAATATCTCCACCTGCTATGGGTCTCATACTTTTCATCTGATTTTTACTTTATTTGGGGAGTCTTATTTCCTTCCATCACGGTCGGCTTACTGAATCAATATCGATGACGACAGAATAATTTCGAGTTTGGGAAATCTGGAAAGGGAGATACACATGTCATTTGCCATTACAGTACTGCAGGCTATACTCCTGTAAACATGGATGGAGTTTATGCCCAGCCGGTGTGGCTGTATCTTTAGAACCACTACGGGACAGTAGCTTTTTGACTGGGTTTGAGTGCCCGCCTGCTTTAGTTCAGAACAAAGTGAGATATCGATATGCTTCTGTCATTCTGTGGTTCTAACTTCAGGGCCGCATATACGGGACAAAACCCACTGTTCGCTTTATCGCGCAATAATGACATTGGCCAAAAACCAAGTCCCATGCGTGATGCAAGCCCATCGGCACTACTGCACTGTAACATCAGCTAAAGCGCTAGCCAGTATCGATCTGGGCGGTGGACTGTATGCCCGCCGGAACAGCCCCGAAGTCGGTCTCATCTCTTCAGCCCAATGTGCCCTTCAAGGGATCAATTTACATTTCTTGGTGGACAGTTCCTTCCCCATGGCAAATTCCCGGCATTGTCGGTCATGATACGACCTTTGAATTAGCTGCCTCCTGTTTCACTTCTGCTCTCCACTCCGGATCAGATAATGCGTGTCTGCGGGGCTTCCATTTGAATGTTATCAATCAGCACTGGGAGATGCAAGTATGGCGGACCGGTAACAAGTCTGCGAGCTCTATAGTCAGGGCACGGAAAGCAAATTCAGACCAAGTAATACTTTGACGTCGATGGGCCGTGGCATGCGGTCTCCGAGGACATTGCGATGAACAGGCTGGATGGCATAGATCCAGTTGGCTTGCTGTTGTTGGCGAGATCAACCACGAGGTAGTAGGTCCTCGAAGATATTCTCCAGCCGATCTAGGAACAGACACGAACGATTAGGGTTGCGCAACATGTTCCTGACTAGCCTTGGTGGATGGACCCGTAACATAGACTAGGAATCCTTCTCATCATCATCGTACATACCGAACAATACGAGGTGGATCTAATCAGATGATGATCTAATCAGATAAGTCTGCCGAAGACCGGAGAAACCACGAGACCGACATCACGTTTTCCGTTCTCCCTCTTGCCTTGCCTGACTCTTTTACTCCGTTTCGCATCGCATCTAGATATCGTATCTGCCACGCAGTACAGTAAGGCTGATTTCTGCCAGGCACGGCGGCCTACATCGGTGCCTAGATGTTCCTATTCCTTTTCCAGAATCTGTTCCTGTCCATCATAATGACCACCGCTTTTATGATTACCGCGGTAGTCAACGCTTGACCCCCATCGACCGACCCCACTTCACTACTCACACTACCAACCATGTCACTTCGGGCCCTCGCGGGGTCCACCTCAAATGACGCTCAATGGATCTCACGTAGTGTGTGAAGCTGCAGAACGGCATTTTTGAGGGGGATTGTGGGTTTTTATTTTTATTTTTTTATTCTGTAATTTTGTACCCTTCTTTTGCCGTTCCAAGTTGTATTTTTCTTATTCCTTGGGCTTTTGTTTGCTTTTTTCTTTCTTTTATATAATTACCTTTCCCTCCCTGAATCCATTCTGTCAGTAACGACGTCCACTCTTTATACCACACGCGCCCCAGTGTTAGGATCGCGCCCCTGGCAATTGTGTTCGCAGGTGCGTAACCGCTTTGATCCCTACTGCTAAAACCATGGCAGGCGCAATCTTCAACCACGAGGAGCACGAAAGCCCCGCTCATGCTTCCCCTCAACCTAATGGCCACCACACTCCTGTCGCTATGGAGATTTTCCCCATCACCAGAATCCCCGCTTTAGATACGATCGATCCCTACGCCGTCGCGAGACCTGCATGTGATGCGGTTGCGGAGAGTCCTCGGATAGAGCTTTCCTGCAGTCGCGCAGCGACGGAGCTCATCGACGACCTCGTCCAAGGCTACGCGCGCTTTATTTCGAACTTCACTGGTCTGGAGGACGTCGCTTTTGGCATCTTGCGCCGCGCGACATGGCAGTCCACGTCGAATCCTGCCACCGCGGTCATTTCGGCTTCGGTGTTCTGGTCCGAGGAGCTGCAGGCAGGGGAGCCGAATAACTGCAAAGTGCGCGAAATCAACCAGCAAGATTATAACAAGGACGAGATACAGTTCTCACTGGAACTCGGATTGGATGCCGATCCTGAAAATGGCGAGCATCAAATCTGTGCCAGTGGACGCGGAAATGTCAGTCCCCTCTCCCTCCCCGGCAGTGCGGGGTGCGGTAGAGAGTGATACTTACGAGTCAACAGGTCTTCACGCTTCACGCCGATACCGTTGCGAACAACAACGCCCTCCAAGTCAGCTTCTCCTACCCAAAGCCACTGATCCCCGACCCGGCTGTGAATCAGCTCCTGAACACACTGGCGACTCATCTGGCCAATTCCTCCCCCTCTCTCAATCTTGTCGCATCCACGCCCGACCTTTCGATTCTTAATTTCCCACCACTGATGATACCCCCCACGAGAAAAATAACGGAAGATGTGGAACCACCGAGCTCGCGACAGCCGTCCCTCCTTCACGCCGCTTTTGAGGGCTGGGCCCGCAGAAAGCCTAATGCGATCGCACTCGACTTTGTACATTCTTTACCCTCTGCCACAGGCTCGGCAGAGCACAGCATTCTAACATACGCCGCCCTTAACGTAGCAGCCTCGAATTTGGCTGTGCACATCAGAGCTCAGTTGTCGGTGGACGGCCAGGTGCCCGAGTATGGACGTATTATTCCCGTTTATATGACCACATCCCCCGAGCTTTATATTTCATATCTTGCCATCCTGAAGGCCGGCTGTGCATTTTCGCCTATTCCTCAGGATGCACCGGAGCAACGGGTTCGGGAAATTCTTGAGGAAATCAACTCCCCCATTATACTCGGCAATGTTTCTGAGCCCGCCGCTGGTCCATGGCGGCCGATCGATAGCCAAGATGCAGCCACCGGTCATGTCTGGATTGATGTGGTGGAAGTCTCCAGGTGGAAGGAGATGCGTGGCGATGCTGTCTTGGTGGAAACGATCGAACCTCCCGAACCACTAGATATACATGAAGACCAAGTTGCCTATCTGCTATTCACGAGTGGCTCCACTGGAAAGCCCAAGGGTGTCCAGATCCATCATCTTGCTGCCACCTGTTCCATCGAGTCTCATGCGACTGCAATTCCCCTTCCCGGTGATTCGATTGGCGATTTCCGCTGGTTCCAATTTGCATCCCCTACATTTGATCCGTCACTCATGGAGATATTCGTCACCTTGAGTAGCGGTGCTACTCTTTGTTCCGCGCATCGACACTTGACTCTGACGGACCTTGAAGCCACAGTCAACGAAGCAAAGGCGACGGTGATGATGGCGACTCCGAGTTTGGCCGCTCTACTGCGGCCGTCCCACCTGACTACTCTCCAGTCATTATGGACGATGGGTGAGAAACTTAATCGAACAGTCATCGAAAACTTCTCTCCAAAATCAGGGGTCAATGCCTCTGGTTCGGCTCCAGAACCAGCCAGGATGTTGGTGAACGCCTATGGCCCGACCGAAGGTGCCATCAACTGTACTTTCCTGGCGCCTTTTGAATATTCCACGCGTGGTTCCATCATCGGCGAAGCTTTGCCCACGTGTGCAATGTTGGTCCTTGACCCTAACAGCCACCTGCCTAAAGCAGTTCCTGCCGGTCTCGCTGGTGAATTGGCGATCGCCGGCCCCCAGGTTGGCAAAGGCTATCTTAACCGCCCCAAAGAGACGGCCAAGTCCTTCGTTCACAGCCCAGAGTTTGGACCTGTCTACCGCACGGGCGACATGGCGCGCATTGTTTGGGATGAGTCCGGCTCTCAGATCATTGAATTCCTTGGTCGCATAACGTCCGATCAGGTGAAGATAAGTGGGCGCCGCGTCGAGCTTGGTGAAATTGAGTCCGTCCTTGCGACCGTTGGCTCTGTCACAGAGGCCGTTGCGATTGTTTCTAAGCGCGACAATGACGTCCAGGGGAGCGAACAAATTATCGCGTGTCTCGTGGCGAATGGGTTAACCGAGACACAAAAACAGGAGCTAATCCACCAAGCGCACCAAACCACCCATCAGCACCTTTCATCTTACATGTGCCCTTCCGTGTACGCCTTTGTCGACACTTTGCCCCGATCTAGCTCTGGAAAGGTAGATCGCAAAGCTATCGCGGACCAATCACAGACGCCTGAGGCATATGGCGTGAAATTTTACCGCACACCAAAACCCGAGCTCTCCGATGTTGCTCAGTCCGAATGGGAGATGCCAGAAGATGAGGAAACGAAATCGACGCAGCAGCTTGTGATTCGCCTGATCGCCGACACGGTCGAGGAGGACGCATCTGCGATCAGACCCAACTCGGACCTCTATTCGCTCGGTCTTGATAGTCTTGGCGCCATGCGATTCCTACAGAACCTGAGAGACAATGCCATTGAAAGTTTGTCTGTAGGTGACGTTTTGCAAGCCGGTACTCCCAAGGGCCTGGTTGCCACTATCCATAAGCAAAACCAAATGAATGGGAGCGTGGCTTCCGGCGAGGCGGCCCGTCTGCAGACCTTGCAGGAGAGCCTTGCCCAATTTAGCGACAGGAACCGTTTGACATGCGCAGAGCGGCTTGGTGTAACGCCGGAGAAGATCTCCGATGTCTTGCCGACGACAGCCACGCAGTCGGGTATGTTGACAAGTTTCTTGCGCAGCTCCGCCAATAGCGCATTCACCACCCGGTCGTACATATACCATTCCGTCTTTCCCCTTGAATCTGGTGTAGATGTCGGGCGCCTTCAGCAGGCCTGGGATACTGTCGTCGCAAGCTATGACTCTTTCCAAACAGTTTTCTCCTTGATTGATGATGACTTGGCACCGTTTGCGCAGTGCGTCTTAGTCCCCGGTGCCGTCTCTAAGTCAAATTGGGATGTATACACCGCAGATCACTCTGAAGAAGAATCTCTACGCGAGGCCTGTCGAAACGCCGAGGAGACTATCGATTTAACAGTTCCCCCATGGAAGCTGTCTCTCGTCACATCTCCCAAAAGGTCTACAATCGTATTGAGCATGTTCCACGGTATCTTTGACGGAGGCTCACTACAACTCCTCCTTGAAGATGTCTCATCAGTCTATGATGGGCGCCCGTTGGGAAAACGAACCTCGCTGGAATACACAGTCAAGCAGCATTTCGGGGCCGATCAAGATGCCACAGCGGAATTTTGGAAGAGCCAATTGGAAGGCCATATACCTGTCGCTTTTCCTACCGTCACACCGAACCGCTCCCCTTCCCTCAAGACGAGCCATCGCGTGGAAACAACAGCCCGCATCAGCTATGATAGCTTGAAGAAACAGTCAAAGAGCATCGGCTCGACCCCGCTTGCCGTACTCCAAGCAGCTTGGGCATCGGTCTTGCTAGCCTACAGTGGAACCCCTGACCAAGATGTGGTTTTGGGTAGTGTTGTTTCCGGCCGACTTGACACTGAGTCGGAAGTCTGTATTGGTCCGACCTTCAACATCATCCCCGTTAGACTCGCTCTCAATCAGGTTGCGAAGGACGCCCAAGGATCGTGGACCAATAGGTCCGTAGCTCGCCACTTGACGTCACTTAATGCCAAAACCATCTCTCACTTGCAACCCCCTCTCGGGGCAGTTGCAACTGCAGATGGCCGACTCCCCTATGACACGCTCCTGATCTATCAAGACTTTAACGCCGGATCTAGGGCTAGCGGACTTTGGACTTCTATCGATAATCCACCGATGGCGAATGAATTCGCAGTCATGATTGAAGTATGGCCCGAAGTTGATTCATCCCTGACTCTCCGGGCCACTTTCAACGATACCCATATTGATCATCACGCTGCGGAAATCATGCTCAAGCAGATGTCCGATATCGTTGATTACTTCCTTGAAAGCCCGGAAGCGAACTTCCATGATGCTTCTTCGCAGACGCAAATCGATCTTAAGTCCTCTTTCAACCCAAATGCGGCCGTGGCTTCCGAAGCATTGGAGGGTGCATTGTTACACACTTGGTTTGAAGACCATGCTGATACCCATCCTGACGACGTTGCGTTGCTCTTCAAGGGCAATTTGGACGATGAAAATGACCCCAGTAACATCTCGTGGACCTATGGACAGCTCAATGCCATGGCCGATGACCTCGCAGACCATCTCCTCCAGATCTCTGGTCCTCTAATTAACAGCCCTATCCCAATCTGCATCGACAAGAGTCCAGTCATGTACGTTGCCATCCTTGGTATCCTCAAAGCTGGTGGTGCCTGGTGTCCAATCGACACGTTCTCCCCGTCGCAACGCCGTCATGATCTCATTGCCCGCACGGAAGCGAATTTCCTACTCGTATCAAGCCAAGATCCCCCCCAGCCAGAGGACGCCATCCCGACTGGCGTGGAGATGGTGGATGTCAGTCGATTCTGTGATGAGAACGCCGCAAAGAACTCTCAGAAGCGAAACAGTACCAAACACCGGAGCAACCCAGATTCTATGGCATACTTGATCTGGACCAGTGGTACCACCGGTGCCCCGAAGGGCGTGCCAATTACGCACGCTGCTGGTGTTTCGTGCATGAAATCTCTCCATAAGGACATTCCAACGGACGTACAAGAAGGTGCTGTGAGGTGTATGCAGTTCTCGCAATACACATTTGATGTATCGATCCAGGATTTCTTCTATACTTGGGGAATCGGCGGTGTCCTGATCTCTGCTTCGAGGGAAATCATGCTCGGTTCATATGCCAAACTGGCCAATGTGACAAAGGCAACCCACGCACATCTTACTCCAGCGTTTGCCGCCAACGTTCCGAGAAAGGCCTGTGAGACATTGAAGGTGATTACCATGATTGGTGAAAAGCTGACCCAGCCTGTGGCCGATGACTGGGGTACTGATATGCGGGCTTTCAATACCTATGGCCCAGCCGAGGTTACCATCGTTTCAACCATCAGGGAGTTCGGCAACGAGCACAAGGCTATCAAGAGCGCCAATATCGGATGGCCTATGGACACCGTGTCCGTTTTTGTGACCAAGAACCAGCGTATGGTGATGAAGAACGCCGTGGGCGAATTGGCGCTGGGTGGTCCGCAAATCTCCCCGGGCTACCTCAAGCAGGAAGATGTCACCAAGGCGAAGTACGTTTGGAACGATGAGGCATCGCAGGTTCTGTATTACACGGGGGATCTAGTCAGAATGCTCAGCGATGGCTCTTTGGAATATATCAATCGCGTTGATGATCAGATCAAGATCGGAGGTATCCGCGTCGAGCTCAGTGAAATCACATTCGCCCTCAACGATTGCCACACTCTGGTCGAGAACATCGAGACTATGGTTCTCAATCGTCCTGACAGACCTGTCCAAGTCGTTGTCGCGTTCTTGTCTGCTCCTGGTGCTGTTACAGTTGAAGACGATGAAGGAGAGCTGTCGCTGGTCAACGATACCGCCCTGGGAATTGCCAGGGCCACCAGGGACAAGGCAATGGATTCGCTGCCTAGCCACATGATACCCTCCGCGTATATCGTTGTCAAGAACATTCCAAGAACGCAATCCGCCAAGACCGACCGTCGAGCCCTCCAGCAGGCATACACTACCATCGATATCGAAACGTGGGATAGCCGGCTCAATCCGGAAAACCTTGCTGCTGAAGAGTCATTTGATGCTGATTCCGCCGACGCTGCTACTGCTTCCAAGATTGTAGACATCGTCGCGACTCTCACTAACATCGCGCCGTCGGTTATCGCGCCCTCCACCAGGCTCCGCAGTCTTGGTCTCGACTCTCTCCGTGCGATTCGACTTACCGGGAAGCTGAAGGACAATGGGTTCCCGCTATCTGTTGTTGAAGTCCTCAACTGCGTTACCGTCCAGGACTTGGTGAAGCTTGCTAATTGCTCTTCCGGCACTGAAGACGCCACAATCACTAAGTTCGACCTAAATCAATTCCACAGCTCCTGGCATGGAGTGGCGTCAGAGAAGGTGCACGATAAATTCAGCACCGTCCGAGCAACAACTCTTCAAGAAAGTTTAATTAGTGAGACAATGGGGACATACGACATGTACTGGAGCAACCACTTCTTTTCTCTGGATCAGTCGGTGGATCTCTCTCGACTAAGGCAGGCCTGGATCGCTGCTTGTCAAACGACGGAGGCGTTGAGAACTGGTTTCATTCCCGTGGCTGAGCTCGACAGTCGCAAGGCCCAGGATGGCTTGGACTTTGCCATCCTCCAGCTGATCTACAAACTGCCGAACCTGGACTGGGAAGAGCACACATGTACCGGGCAAGATTGGACAGCTGTCCGTGATCAGAGAATCAAGGATATCATGACAAAGCACCAGAACAATTACTTCCGCAACCCACCGTGGGGAGTCACCGTGTTCGACAATGGAGACGAGAGAATCATGGTCCTGACTCTCCACCATGCTATTCACGACGAGCCTTCGCTCCGGTTCATCATGGAGAACGTACAATCGGCTTATACCTCCGAGCCGCCTTCGAGACGTCAACTCAGCGATGCCCTCTCTATCCTTCTCCCGACAGAGACTCGGAGCCGAGATACCCGGGCGTTCTGGAAAACTGAGCTGGAGAAGTTCTCGGATCTCGATGTTCCTGTGTGGCCCGACCTTACCGGGAAAAGGGTGCAGCCCGATTCTGTGCAGGAATACAATCTTATGGTAGAGGAAATCCCGCTCTCGGTATCCTCTTCGAGACTCCAATCTGTTGCAGCGTCGCTGGGAGTATCTTCGGTGGCCTCAATAATTCGGGCAGCGTGGGCCTACGTTTCTTTGAGCTACTTGGGTTTGCCCGCGACGGTGTTCGCTGAAACCCTTTCTGACCGTGTCTTGCACCCGGACCTTGAAGATGGCGTCGGTCCGTTGATTTCGGTGGTTCCGGTTCCGTTCCATCCAGAGGGAAGTGCACGGGAGGTTCTCGCGGAGCAGCAGCGACTGTCGAGTCAGACATGGAAACATCGACATATCCACGCCCGAGAAGTCAGAAAGATGCTCCAGCGTCCGCGTGGGGAACCCCTGTACCCGGCCGTCTTCAATTTCCAAGTCATGAACGAGGAGACCCAGCAGTCAAGCCAATCTACTATGTGGCGTGAATTGGAGGATTTGATTGGCCTGCATGTCGAACATCCCATGGCTTTGAATGTCTTCCAGCACACCAACGATGCCATTGTGGTTGAAGCTTGGTCAGATAGCCGCATCATGAGTCGTGACCAGCTGGCTATTTTCGTACGCCAGGTTGACAGCCTTGTCAGCTCGATGTTGCAGCATCCTGAGAAGCCTCTCAACGAGCTCGTCAATTATGTTCCCCAGTCACTGCGTTCTCTCTCTAGCCGTCCCGTCAGCGATGAAGTCAAAAATTCTGTTTACTCGTCTCCGACTCACTGGCTGGAGCATTACGCCAAGGAACAGCCGGATTGGGTCGCTCTGGAGGTCGCGAGCAAGATCGCCCCCGAGGGTATTGAAAAGAAAACAATGACTTATAGAGAGTTGAACGAACAAGCGAATCGTGTCGCCGCGTTCATCGCTTCGCAGGGGCATCGCAACAGGACAATTGCTATCTGTTCTGGGAGAAATGTTCCCTCGTACCATGTGATCATCGGTATATTCAAGTCTGGGAACTGCTATCTTCCGATAGACGAAAATTTGCCCGCGGATCGGAAGGCGTTCTTGGTCGAAGATGGAGACTGTCCTATGCTGTTTACTGAAAATCCATTTATGGATTCGTTTAATGGCATCCCTGATGGCTGTCGTACCATTCTCATTGATGGTCCGGAGTTTCATCAGCTGTTGGAACCAATGTCGCCCGAAACCCAAGACTACCAGTCTCATCCTGACGACAACTCATATCTCCTATTCACGTCCGGATCGACTGGTAAACCCAAGGGTGTTATGGTTACCCGAGGAAATCTCTCGTCTTTCATCGAGTCCTTCTCTGAGTTCTGCTGCCGAGTTGCCCCAGCCACGTTGAAACTGGGCGGTACCGGCAAATATCTCGCCCAAGCCAACAGAGCATTCGATCCCCATCTTCTGGAGATGCTGTTCCCATGGCGTCATGGAATGGCGACCGCTACTGCGCCCCGGCCAATGATTCTTGATGATTTGCAAACAACGCTTTCCAAATGGGAAATCACGCATGCAAGCTTTGTGCCGTCGCTCGTGGACCAAGCTAGCCTCTCCCCTGAAAACTGTCCGAAATTGAAGTTCATGACTGTTGGTGGTGAAAAGATCTCCAAGCGGGTCTTGGATACATGGGCTGTCAATCCGTACACTTCGCTTGTGAATGCTTACGGCCCAACTGAAGTGACTATCGGTTGCACATTTGCGCACGTCGGAAAGGACACCAATCTGCGAAACATTGGACCGCCGTTGCCCGCTTGCGTCTGTCATGTTCTCATCCCTGGTACCCTTGACTACGCTCTCAGGGGACAGACCGGAGAACTGTGTTTCTCTGGTGATATCGTTGCCAAGGGATATCTCAACAGACCAGATGCAGGTGGCTTCACTCCAGGGCCCAATGGTGAGAAAATGTATCGGACAGGTGATATTGGACGTTTGATGGTGGACGACTCTGTTGAATATCTTGGTCGCGGCGATGATCAGACCAAGATCCGTGGTCAGAGATTGGAACTCGGGGAGGTCTCTGAGGTCCTTCGTTCCGCGTCGTCTATCGGTGTGGACGTCGTAACGACAGTCGCGAAGCATCCTGGTCTTGCGCGAGTGCAGCTTATCTCATTCATCGCGCGAAGTGGCACTCGTCAACGCGAAAAGAACGAAAAGGTGGCCATTGTTCAGTCAGATTTTGCAACTCTGGGCAAGGATCTTCAGACCATTTGCCAGAAGAAGCTTCCGGGATACATGGTTCCAGAGATCGTTCTGCCCATCACGTATATCCCATTGGCCCCTCTGTCAGGGAAGGCCAATGTCAAGGATCTCCATGCCCTATTCGCGGAGCTTCCTCTCCAGACTGTCCTTCTTGGAAACAGCTCGTCCAATACTGGCGACGATACTCTTAGTCGTCCTCTGACTTCCGATGAAAGCGCCGTGGTCCAGGAGATTTGCAAGGTGGTTTCGACCGACGCGTCTGCTTACAGTCCAATGACGAATATCTTCGAGATGGGCGTGGACAGTCTCAGCGCCATCGGCCTTTCTATTAAGCTGAGGAGGATTGGCTACGCCGCTACCGTTGCTCTCGTCATGAGCAACCCCATTGTCGAGCAACTGGCACGTCTTCCCCGGAGCTCGTCTTCCACTACCGACGCGGCTTCATCGAAACTGCGGGAGATCGTTCAGGAAATGGACTCTCAATATCGGGAAAATGCGCCGGCTGGCGTCGATCTATCCGCTGTTTCCTCCGTCCGCCCTTGTCTGCCGCTTCAGGAGGGCTTGGTTGCTCGGTCCATGAACAACGATGGCGACAATCTATACGTCAACCATGTCGTTTTGAAGCTTGAAGAACACGTTGATGCAAAACAATTGAAGTCTGCATGGCAAACTGTTGCTACGGACAATGAAATCATGAGAACCGCATTTGCTCCTCTCGACAAGCAAATGGCCCAGGTCGTCTTCTCTGCAGACTTGCACCAGATCCGCTGGACGGAGGAGACTTACCACAGCCTAGAAGAGGCACTCGAGAAGAAAAGTGACCAGCAAGCGAGTATCTCGCGGGATATCATTTCGTCCATTTCCCAGACGCCCCCAGTCCGGTTTCAATTGGCAAAGTCTGCGGGAACAGAACAGCCTCTGGCTCTCTTCATCTCCATCCACCACGCCCTTTACGATGGTGAATCGTTTTCGATGTTGTTGGAAGACGTAGCGGCGCGTTACGCAGCAGAATCGGTTCCCGAGAGAGGCTCGCCGTCGGCTTTTATCGAACACATCTATTCCCAAGATCAATCCAAGGCACAGCAACACTGGGCGCAACACCTTGCTGATTGCCACCCAACAACTTTCCGGGACGATTTCAACGTCATGGAACATCCCAAGCCTGCTAACAAGCTTCTTAGCACCAAGCTCTCTGAACTGGAACGTCGTTCGGCAAGCCTCCACACAACAGTGCCGAATTTGGTGCAAGCAGTCTTCGCTCTGTTACTTGCCGACACGGTTGGTGTTTCTGATCTGACATACGGATTAGTCCTCTCTGGCCGAGCTGTTTCGGTTCCTGGAGCTGAGTCTGTACTTCTGCCGTGTATCACCACTATCCCCGGACGACTGAACACCAGCGATCTCGACACTGTCAATGAGGTCGTTGGGGCTGTTCAAAAATCGACTGTCAAATCCCTCGATTTCCAGCACACTTCGCTGAGACATATCCAACGCTGGTTGAAATCTGAAACGCCTCTATTTGACTGTCTGTTCTCTTACATTCGCTCCACCGCGCCTCCCAAGCACAATTTGTGGAGTGAATTGGACAGCCACATGCCAGCTGAGTATCCGCTAGCCGTTGAGGTTGAAGCCAACCACGACAAGGACATTGTCTCCCTCAACTGTCTCTTCTCTTCTGCTTTCGGCGCCGTGCATGATGGAGAGGAATTCATCGAAAAGATGGATACCGTTATATCGAGTGTCGTGGCTGGGGAAAGTCTCTCGTTGGATAGCTTCAATCTCTCTCAATCGCATACGTCTGGCTCTCGCCCTTCCGCCATCAAGTGGGATGAGACCACCTGGTCAGCCACAGAGGAAAAGATTCGTGAGCTAACCGCGGAGTTCTGCGGCTTGGGTGCGAAGGATGTGTCCAAGGGTGCTTCGTTCTTGAGCCTGGGTGTCGATTCCGTGACCGCCATTCAATTTGCGCGTAAACTGCGCGAAGCAGCACTTGAGGCATCGTCATCTGATGTCATGCGCTTTTCTTGTGTCGGTGCACTTGCCAAGCATATTAATGAGGCCTCGGCTCAGAAGCCTCAAAGCAATGGCGTCGTGGAGTCCAGTGTGGCCCAGGTCCCGGTTGATGCTTATCAGAAGCACGTCCGTCTTCTCAGCAGTGACGATTCTGTCGTCGCAATGTTTGAAAGTACACCCCTTCAATCAGGAATGATAACACAGACCATCGCCTCTACAGGTCAAGTCTATGTCTATCCTCATCCGATCAGACTCGCTACATCCACCGACGCCAGCAAGCTCAAGACTGCCCTTTTCCAAGTGATCGAGGCAAATGACATTTTGCGTACCTCTTTTCACTTGATCGAGGAACTTGGTACATCCTGGATCGGCGCTGTTCACTCAAACCCACCTTTCGAGTGGAAGGAGATCGAACTTCCCTCTGGTGCTGATATTCTGCATGAGGTCTCCTCTCTTTACTCGTTTAGCGAGGAGTCGTCCTTCCAGGTTCCCCCCATTCGCTCAACTTTGGTTAGCCAGCCGGAAGGAAGACTTCTTGTTGTTACTTTGCACCACGCCCTGTACGACGGTGCTTCTATTCCGTTCTTCTTCGAAGACCTTGCCAGGTTTTATGACGGAGAAATTCCAGTGGAGAGACCTCCCTTCTCCCAGACCGTACAGCACGTGCTCAGCGGGCAGGAAGAATCCTGTGAATTTTGGGTCAACAAGCTCCGCGGATACGAAGTCGTGGAGATGCCGGAACTTCCAGCTACTGAGGCGTCGGACAGGATGCTACTTTCGGAGTACCGCGTTGACCTCGACCTGGATTCAATCGTTGAGTCCTGCAAAAAAATGGAAGTTACAGTCCAAAGCGTGTCCCTTTTGGCATATTCCAAGGTGCTTGGTCGTCTGATTGGCAAGCGCGACGTTGTGTTTGGACAGGTTTTGGCTGGTCGCTCGTTGCCGACCCCCGAGGCTGAACGTACTCTTGGTCCCTTGTTCAACACTGTTGCTCACAGGGTGACTTTCGAGCCCAAATTCTTGAGCAACAAGGCAATGGCCCGCAGCCTGCAGGAAATGACGAATGATGCCCAAATCTACCAACATGCCCCTCTGCGGACTGTTCAGAACTCCCTGCGACAGAGCGGCGATCTCAAATCGGCGTCGCTGTTCGATACTCTGTTCGTTTTCCAGAAGAGTGCCGATTTCGCTGGCAGCATCCTTGAAGAGCAGAAGATCTGGACGCCATATGAGTCGGACGATTACGCTGCCCAGGCTGAGTACAAGCTCAACCTTGAAGTCGACCATGCTCGTGACGGTATCGTTGTCCGATCCACGTGCAACGGCTTGTACCTGTCGCAGGAGGCACTCGATGGGTTAATGAGCGAATTTGGTGCTGTTTTCAAGGACATCGTTGACACCCCCGCGAGGTGTGCTACAACATTCCCTGAACAACTCAAGGAGCTGCCCCTCAGGGTGTCACAAGAACAACCCAGCGAGCAGGAGCTTGATACATCTGATGCACCAGCTCAGGAGTCCGTTGTTCACGCTGTCCTTGCGGATGTGTCTGGTCTTCCTCTTGACAAGATCAAACCGAGTACTAGCATCTTCAGCATTGGGTTGGACTCTTTGTCGGCGATTCGCATTGCCTCTATTTGCCGATCCAAGGGTCTGAAAGCGAGCGTGGCGGACATTCTCCAAGGGAACACTTTGCGCGGCATTAGCCAGCGTATCAAACCCATGCCCGCGCAAACTGCCACGCCCCAGGGGCCGCTTATCGACAATTATACCGAAGTGGAAGAAGCGGTTCTTAAGAAATTAAACATCAAGAAAGAAGCGGTGGATACGATTTTGCCCTGTCTGGGTGGTCAATTTTTCCATCTGGTCGGTTGGTTGAAGTCTGGAAGGAGGCTCCTCGAGCCTGCCTGGCCCTACTTCAGTACTGAGCGTCTTGATAACGCGAAGCTAGAGGATGCCTGGTTCAAACTTCGACAAAGGCACCCAGTGCTGCGGACATGCTTCGCGGCTACTTCTCCGAATGATGCAGTTCAAATAGTTATGAAACACACAGCTCGCGGCACGTCGACCTTCAAGGTGATCCAGACCTCTTCTTCCATTGCAGAAGCCGCCAAGGCACAGGCGAAAGAAGAAGCTGCACGTCCGTCTTCCCTTTATGTCCCTCCTGTTCGTCTGTGCCTGTTGAAAGCAAGCGACCGGGATGGAATCCTCATTATCGTCAATCACGCGGCCTACGATGCCTGGACCATGCCCATGTTCGTTTCAGAGCTTGTCAATATTTACCGCAATGAGCCTTTGGAAGCCACTCCGGATTTCCGCTCCTTCGTGGATTTCTCTGTGCGCTCCCTGCGCGATCTCGACGAGAAGACATACTGGTCTTCTGTTGTCGACTCGGGCGTGCCTACTGTGATCAAGAAGTCTCAGCCTACCAACGACGACGACCAGTCATCTCTACTCTGTAGCGCCTGGGATACACTCAAAAGATTCTGGTATCCTGCTTCCACCGAAGATACCAACAAGTCGGATCAGCTCTTCGTTGGAGCTTGGGAGAAGGTCAAGAACCTGTCTCAAATGGAAAGCGCGTGTCGGGCTGCAGGCCTGAGCCTCCAGACCGTGGTCCTCCTCGCTGTTGCACGCGCTCTTGGCCGGATGACTGGAGTCGAGAGTCCTATCATGGGTCTATACCAGACCGGTCGATCGGCTTCATTCGCAGACATCGAGAAACTCTCCGGGCCGTGTCTGAACGTGAACCCACTGGTGATCCCTAACGCCATCTCTGACCACGACGGATCAGACCCCAGTCTGCTAGAGAAGGCACAGTCCGTGCAATCATCCCTCGCCGAGCGCGTCTCCTTCGAACAAAGCTCCATCATGGACGTCCTCCGCTGGAACTCCACCAAGAACAACGGAGGCCCGCTCTTCAACGCCTGGGTCAACCTCCTCTGGATGCAGAACGGTGTCCCGTCCTCCGCCGACACCAACCCTGGCGCAGACACAGAGAAGGCCGACCAAGGAGACCTCTTCCTCCCCCTCCGCATCGGCGTGCCCACGGACTTTATCCCCGCACAGCCGCTACCAGGCCTGGAGTCGACTTCCGTGTCTGCGCTAGACACCTCCCTTCTGCCTGATGAGAACGTATTCATCGACATCGGCCCTGACCCCAAGACTGACACCATTGGTTTTGGTATTCGTGTCGAAGGCGGCGTCATGGATGAGAGCGAGGTCAACCAGATGGTGTCTGATATTGGAGCTGAGATTGAGCGGATTGTGGGCTCTTTGCACTAAGTGTGAGGTCTGTGATATGGGAAATCCGAAAAAAAAAACATAGAAAAAGGAATGAAAATCGAGGGCAAGAAAAAGAAAGGAAGAAGGATATAAAACTGCACATATGTTCATAGACTGCATCCTTGTTGTATTTAGATTACTTGCATTTGTATATATCTTGTTTGTTTCGATATTGAGTACATAAAAATTTGTTATGTTGCACTTGTGCATTTTTATTCAATAACTTTTTGTGCCTATAAATATTGACATGTATCGTATTTTTATTTCATCATTCCATGACCTTTGCCTTCATGTATATGCAATTCACATATGTACCGTTAAAAGCAATGGAATTGCCAGCCTACCACACATGTAAGATTGCTAAGACATGAGTACAACAGCCAACAAACTTAGTATTTACACAATTTACATTGATCCCCCTCTACCTCACTAACCGGTATCTCATCCGAGAAGAGCAATACATCACACTTCCCCTAACCACGCGGTGCACTCGCACCCTCACCCTTCATCGCTTCCTTAACCAGCCACACACTCACATCTTTCATATCCTTGCCTTCGCGCCAGCTAGCCAGCACCACGCCGTGGTGAGTGAGGATATCGTGCGCGCGCTCCCAGCGGCGCTGCCACATTTCTTCGCGCTTCGTGGGTAAGGTTGAATAGGTGTTGTCTATGCTGCTGGGTGCTGTGCTGGATTGGCGTAGGGAGGTGCTTGACGATGTGGCTCGGAGGGTGTTTGAGGGGGTTGATGATGATGATGATGATGGCCATGGGAGACGCTCGGATGCGAACTGCGATGCTGCGGATGCGTATTGCAGGGCGGCTGTTGCTGCTGCGGCGGGGTAGGATTGCTGCTGCTGCGGTGGGTTCTGGGGGGTGGACCGGTTGGTGGTTGTGGATGGTTGTGGTGTTGAGCTGGTGCTTACTGTTGAGCTGCTCGTGCCGGTTCGACGGGGGGGTGGTGGTGGTGGGGGCTGTTTCCGTGATGACCGCTGGTCGTTTGCGATAGGCGGATTGGTGGTGCTGTTGGCGAGAACGGGTTTCGGACGTGAGGGTAGTTCGGGGGGTGGGCGGAGGGCACGGCTGCTTTTCACGTTGGATGGGGGTCTCTCGTTCGTCGCTGGGTCCCTTGCTGTAGAGGGGAGCGCTTCTTCTGGGTCTCGTCTGCTTTGAGTTATATCTGTTGCCGACCGGCCCAGACGCTGATAGTTGGGGGTTGTAGATGGGTCCGGCTCTCGATCGGAGGATTCTGGTTTGACCGAGGAGCTTGGACGTGGGGGTAGTGGCGGGACTGGCTTGCGCTTGGGAGGAGGTTCAGGGACCGACGAGGAGGAAGAACCATCTTTCTCCCTTGTGTCGAGATTGCTGGAGACTGTGCGCAACGACGACGGCTTGGACGGTCTGTTAGGCGGTGCGCGTGGTGCCGGTGGTTTCGACACATCTGCTGTCTTTGGCCTGGGGTCCTCGTCGTCCCGAAGCTCAATGAGGTCGGCGTTATCAATGCTTCTGGCATCTGGAGTCGACTCTGTCCGTTGGAGATCTCGACGCGGCGGCAATGTGGGCGCGCTGGGCGTTGCTGTATCGGAATCGTCGACGAGCTGCGGCGCACTTTGGCTAGCAGCCGGAGTTCTGTCCAGATCTTTCACCGACTTGTCGAAGAACCCGGTACGGCCTCGAATCGGCGTTGTAATGTCACGGATGAAAATCCCCAGGATCCTTCCCGGGTTTGCCAAAGCAATGTCCGTATAGACCTCCAAGTCAGCCTCCCCGCTGTCGCCAACCAATATGAACTTTCGTGACGGAAAATCGCGCAGGATTTGCTCTAAGTGTCCTTTTTTCCTTTCGGCCGTTGGCTCAAAGATCCCCTGTAGCATGCCACTGTAGTGCTTCAGGTGGATGGAGCCAGAGGGTAGCCCAACCATTTTGAAATAGCGGTCCAGCAAAGGGTAAAGCTGCCATGGCGCATTGGAAACATAATGCATCTGAACTCCCATCTTCCACAACTCATTATACCATTCAGCAACACCATTCACAGTCAAGTCACCGAGTTCGCGCACGAATGTATTGCGGAACATCTCCTTGGCACCATGTGCAATGGCAGAGTGTTTGACTGTGTCGTCGATATCACTGATCAAGCTGATTCCAGTCGGGTCAACGACCTGGACGGCTTTGACAGCAGAAAGCTCTTCCGATGCCAGGATGCGAACATTGGTCGGAACGAAGGATAACCCAGCGCGGAGGCTGAAATGACCAGACTCGTCGGTGATGACACTCCTTGACTGACTTTTCTCATCATTGAAAAAGAACACCGTCACAGGCAATCCGGCCATTGGGTTCGTCAGGAAAGGCCGCAGTCTCTCCATGAGGTGCGCATTGGCTACAGACAGTTCATCCTTGCTCAGCTGCGGAGCCTCTGCCGTTGTCGTCGTTGTCGTCCTCCCCAGAGGGCGACCCGGAGGCCCCGACTCATCCTTCTCGGCCAAGTGGTTCTCTCTCCACGGCGTATCGGCCCTTCCTTCCGCCTGTTTGATGATTGACTGCGCCTCCGAGTCAACAAATTCTTCCTCCCCTCTCCCAGGCGTCTTCTCCGTCCGTCCAGCGTCGGGATCTGCCTCGTCACCCTCACTCGCATTCACGTTCGGGGCCGGTATCCCACTCAGCTTCCTAGCGAGCGCAATCATCAAGCGATGCTTGCGAGTCATAGGCCCGCGGTGAGGCGAATACACCCACCCGCGAACATCAGCAGCGACAATAACACTCTCGTCCTCAAGTTCCTCCAACTCCGCAATGTCCATTCCGGGCTCATCCTCCTCGGCACCATGGTATTCATCCAGCGTCGATGTCGAATCGCGGCGCCGTCTCGCAGCAGCTTGCCCGTTACCACCCTTGGCCAACCGCCTAGCATAACTGGGGAATACCACCATCTCCTCATCCCCAGCCCGTGCAATTTCAACATCCGAGAACGCTCCCGGGGTATTTCTCATAAACTCCTCGTTCCAATCCCGCTGCCCATTCCTCTGCGCCGTCCACTGTGCCGCGTACGTCTGGCGAAGCTCATTGGCGGCCTTCAAATAACCGTAAACCTTCTGGCGGCGCCCACCAGCGCTGGCACCACCCGCGGGGTTAAAAGCGGGCGGGTCCTGCGCCCTGTATTGAGACATTTGGTCGATTCCTCCCCGCACCGTCGCCTTCCCACCGGCTGGACTGCCAAGGGTAAGTCCACCGCCCAACTGTCGTCGCTTCCCAACAATGTACTCGACGAGACGTCCACGCCCCGATCGCCGCCTCTTTGCTCGGTTTGACTGGTGCTGGACGATCGCGCGATAGATGCGGGATTGCGCCCGGTGGCGGAGAGAGGGAATGGTCTCGTGGCGGAGGCTCCAAGCGCGCGACTGAGCTCGTCGACTCGTTTGCGGTCCAAGTAGCGCCCGAAGAATACGGAAGAAGGGTCCTGGGTTTGTGCGGATCGGCAGTCGGGAAAGGCGAGGAAACGGCCGTGGGGTTAATGGGGGTCTGGTCGACGGCGGCGGGGGTGCGCGCCACGAGCTGCGCGGAGGCGGCTTCTGTTTTGGAGCCAGTGTTTGTGTCGCCTGTGGCAGTGTGTGTCTTGCTAGGTTGGGAGATGTAAGTAATGGGGATCTTGGTTGAGGGGCCACGGTGGTTTCCTGTGGTTCCTGGGGAAGGAGTCGGCGACGCTGGTTGTCTCAGCAATGGATTAAGGATTATTTACCTGATGACAAGCTAGGCAGATTTGCGCTACTGCACAATGCCCTGAAAGAATAAGCTATGTCGGAGGCGACAATTACCAGTGCGATTTGAGCTATTGTCAGATGCTAGGCTGTCATGATGCGTATGTGGGTAGTTTGGTTTACGACGGGTTTCCAGCTTGGAAGCCGCGGGCGCTGTGGGGCAAATCGCCGCGTCCAGCCCGTCCCTCGTTATCATAACATCATAGCGGCGTACGTGGGCATAGGTGGTTTTCATATGAAACTGTGCTAAAAATATTCTGGATCTACATGTCCAATGATTTTCACGGGATGGAGTAGATTAAGTATATTTATATTGTACAGAAATTATGGTACATAGTGTATAAAATGGGGATCCAAAAGCGTCGCATCGTCAGGGTCATCCGAAATAATTCGAGATAGCAATGCATGAACAAAGTCCATCACATCGAGGCCGTGAACAGAGCAATTACGCTTCGCTCTCCTCGGCATAGTTGACGGTCTTTGTACGTCGACTCCGTCGCACGCCATTGCTCGGAGACTGTACGGGTTTCTGTGCAATGGCATCATCCGACCCTTCATTTTCTGATGGATCCGGTGTAGAAAGAGGCGAGCTGACCTTTCGTTTTCTACTCGGTCTCTTGGCGGGAGGAGCAGCGCCCCGAGGGGTCCGCTTTGCTTGGGGAGGTGGGCTCGGTACCTCACCCTCGACGTTGCCGTCGGGGAGCGACGTCTCCCCGTTCTTGGTATCGGCCGTCTTCTTGGGTGCACGGGGTTTGCGAGGGCTGGAGGGCGCTTTCGCGCGGATCACCTTCTTCGGCCGCAGATATTCTTCCATACCAGGAGGCCAGTAGACGCGCCGATCGGGGCCTCCCATGCCGACCTCGTCATCGGGTATTGTGCGCGGGGGAGGTAGGTGGCTCTCCAGATCGACAAAATCCCCGTTCTTTTTTGCCGACTTGCGAGGCGGTTTGAACGGCTTGTTCTCGTCCGTGCGGGCATAGGGGATCATGTCGTTCACAAGCTCATGTCCAGGAAGCCTGAAGTTCCTCATCAGCTCAAACACGGCTTGTTCCTTGTTCTTCGCTTCAATCATCAGATCCATAGTCGGGTCACACGGGGGAAGCGTTGCCACTCGGTCACTGTGCTTCCGACGTTGACTTTTGGTGATGGCAGAAGCAATAGGCTCTGAGTAATGCATCTTCTGGGTGATGTTCTTCCGAGTCCATGTCGCCTTGATTCTGTCATACAGGCCCATAATATCCAAGGTACCCTCGCGAAGCTGGCTTTCGTCGAAAATGATATTGTGGTGATGATAGTCCAAGACGAGTGGAATGTTCAGCTCCTCGCAGATTGGCAGCAAGTCATGCACTGACCAACTCACATCGTCATTTTCCAAGACGAGGCGATTCTTCATATCCTGAGAAAGCATCTTGTAGTTCTGCCTGAATCGTTCCAGAGTCGCCTCCTTGTCGCCAAATACGCCACCCATATGGAGAATCATAACCGCGTCGCGATCTTGCTGAGGCGGTAGGCGAAGGAGTCGAAGCATTTCCGAGTGATACTCCAAATCTCTGATCGAGCTCTCCACTACATCCGTCCTAGGAGAGCCTAGCTGAGTGAACTGGCCGGGATGGACGGTCACACGATGGCGCAGTTCAGCGACGACGCGTCCAGCTTCACCCAAGGCCTCTGAGGCGAATGGGGCCAGTTGATAGCCATATTCTTTATGGCTGGCAAATGGGAACATTTCACTGCTTATGCGCATGAACTTGATCCCATATCTGTCGTTCCAGCGCAGCAATTTCACAAGATCGCGCGCATTCGCAAGGCCCAAGGCCTCCACGAAAGCCTGCCCTCGCGCAACATCAGGAGTCTGTGTTTTATCGGGGCGGTTCTTGGTTGGATGGGCCGGCTGTGAGGGGTCCTGCAACGGATGGCGGTTGTCCAAGATGGAGGCAATGCGACAGGTCCGAGAGCAAAAGACGGGTGGATTGGAGTAACGAAGATACGTATTCAAGCAGGCCTGTTGCCCATGGGTGGTTGCGTCAGCAAAAATGGGGGGTTACAATCCACGAGAATTGTCACAACTTACATAACCCAGTCTTCCTTTCCACGGGAGGGGAAGGTAGCTGCTGTTGACCGCCGGTGGCCGTGATAAGGCCTCTTGAAGTTCCTCTGCCTCGATGGGAACATTGTCGTCGGACTCTGGGTCCACGCCCGTCGGGTCACCAGATCCAGCAGGAAGCGAGTCATTTTGGCCGAACTCCGCACCGCCATCCTGCGTCTGTGTCTCTTCACCTGGGATACTGGCCATCGCTCTCGTTGTACGCCTTGACACCGCCGAAAATGCGAACGATCGCCTTGCACTGGGCAAATGGGTAAGAGGGGATGCGGGTATCCGAAATCTCAAGGATTGTCGAGCATTGGAATGTGCAGGAGTTGAGTGAGCCGTCACAGAAGCTGATCGTTTCTGGTAACGAGGGCAGCGCAGGAAGATGTTTTGGTTCGCCACGGCAACGGGATTTTTCATCCACATACTCCGAAAGCAGTGGCGAACCTGGCGGAGGGAGCGAGATTCCCAGCCCCCACAGGAATGCACCGCATGTTGATGCGCACGACCGAAGCTCCTCTGCTGGTGAGGAAAAAGCCGCCCAAACATCCAGCAGGGAGAAGACGATTTGGATTGACCTGGGATGAAACAGGAATTAAAAGAAGGGATAAGTTAAATACAGAAAAGAGCACCTCGCATCATTTCCCGAAGCATAGGGAAAGATGCGGATATAAATAGAATGATACTGAGTGTGACTTGCAAGAGTAAGGGAGCGACGGAGAGATCGAAGCTGTAATTAAGACGCGGTCCGTTGCCGCGCCGGGTCGCGATTTGCTGGCCAGTTGGCGGGCCATATCGGCCAACTGGCGTCGCATCTATCATCCATCTGGTTTCTTTAACCTCAATACTGGACTAGTCCCAACAATGCTCTCTCCATACATCACAAAAAGAGGTCTCATGTCAACTCGAAGCTCTTCTCGATTAGTTAATCTAACATGTCCAGAGATATAACATAAACAAGCGCTAGGGCCGCCAAATCGATGGGAATGTTTTGTGTCAAAAAGGTGATACTGAATGCATGCCCTTCGGTGCCACAAAAGCAAGATTAGAAACTGGAAATATTGATTCCGGATCTATGGGAATGTTGACACTAGGGGGTGATTGCTGGGGTACAAGTCTTTGCAGCATTCTTCCGGTCAAGGAAATGGTAAACACTCCTTCGTCCATTCTCGGCAGCTTCTGGTGCACGCTGGATCGGGGACGTACACATGCCATTCATCGATGATGGCTGAGAGGCCCCTGTTCCCTGCTGGGAACGTGCGTGTCAAATACTCGGGGAGATCGACTGTTTGTGGCCCTGTGTTTATATACTCCTTGCTCTCCGACAGCGGTATATCCATCTTTCTTTCCACTTTCTCCCCGGTGCCTTTCTCGCTATCTTTAGTCCTGTTAATCGAGACTCCGTGATTTTTCAAGGTGAGTCTGCTCAGTATGATATCTCACCTAAGGAGCTAAAGTATCTAACACCGCGCAGACGCAAATTACGAATTTTTTTTCAAAATGAAGTGGTCTGTGGTAGCTCTGGGCCTCCTGGCCTCCTCAGTGTCAGGACACATCCAAATGTCCAATCCGTATCCGCTTCGCAGTCCATTGAACAAGGATGGAAGCGGCCAGAAGGATTACTCGTACACCAACCCGTTGTCCACCGATGGCTCCGACTATCCGTGCAAGGGCTACGCCAAGGACGAATTCAAATCGGTGGCAGACTACAGCCCCGGCCAAGAGTACGATCTGGAACTGCAAGGGAGCGCGACTCACAATGGCGGTTCCTGCCAGATCGGCCTGTCCTACGACCAGGGCAAGACGTTCCGTGTGATCCACACGATGCTGGGTGAATGTCCCCAGGCCAAAAAATACAAGTTCAAGATCCCCCAAGATGCCAAGTCCGGCGAGGCCCTCCTCTCCTGGTCCTGGTTCAACAAGGTGGGCAACCGTGAGATGTACATGAACTGCGCGCAAGTCACCATCGGTGGCGGCCACTCCAAGCGCGAGCGGTCCACCCAGTCCTTAAACCGTCGCGGCGGTTTCGACAGCCTGCCCGAAATCTTCCAGGCCAACAACAACGGCCCGGGCAAATGTCGCACCATCGAAGGCCAGGCCGTCAATTTCCCCCAGCCGGGGCCCTCCGTGGAGGGCAAGGCTGGAAGTGACAAGGGCTACAAGTGCGAAGGAAGCGCGCCGTTCCTGGGGTCCTCCCATTCCGTGAATACTAGCTCCAACTCCACGAGCTCATCGGCCGCACCCTCATCGTCCCATGCCTACATGACTTCTGCTTCCGGCGTGGCCACCTTCTCTGTCAAACCTTCCTCTGCTGCGTCTTCTTCCGCCGTGCCTTCTTCCGCTGCGCCTTCGTCTGCCTCCCCGCCGTTCAGCCACGGCCCCGCGACGCACGATTCCCACGGACCAGCACACTATCCGTTTTTCAACAGCATCGCAAACAGTTTCGCACACATGTTCCACCCTGGCCGGTGTGTAGACGGTACCATCATCTGCAAGCCTGATGGCCTGTCGTGGTCCATGTGTGATCATGGCGCTCCCCATTTCATGGGCGCCGTGGCCCCCGGTACCATCTGCCGCCATGGCCGCATGTACGCGCTGTAGACCATCTTTTATTTTCTTTTCTTTTTCTCGTTTGTGATTTGGAGGTCATGGATCAGGGCTGTTCTTACTGTGGCCACAGCGCCAAATATTATATCCAATCTTTTTTGTTCTTCCCTTATGTCTTGTTACAATAGTTTTTTGTGTCTTGGTCCAGATTTGAGTATTACTGTGCACAGTGTCTTTACTTGTTTTACTTCGGAGTTTGATTTTTGAATTGACAAGCTTCTTCTCATTTTTTCGCAGTTGTATAGTATAATCGTCCATCGTAAGTCTCTTCTTTACGGAGTACTATGTTCTGCGTTCAGAACATGACAGCCATGTGAAATAAAGATTCATACATGGAGTATTCCATATAATAATTGACCTATTCCCCCAAACCATTATTTATGTCTGAGACTCACCTCGTTCTAATTTTGCGACATTTGAGACATGATATCATGCTAGTATAGTCGATGGCCGGGGTACAAGGGTCTAACGAAGGGGTTCAGCTAGTTTGAACATACGGTCCGTACTATAAAACGTATAATAATCATAATGATCAAGACCAAGAAGACGAAGAAGACAATTTGTTTTTTCCTCCATATAATAGCAGATCAGTTTAATCTAATAACTTTCGAAGTTCGTGGAAATTGTCATTGAGACTAGTACCCACGATGCTCAAATTATATATTTCAGGTGTGTCTCCAATCGATATATCTATATTCATTATAGAAAAGCAGTACTTACAAAACCAGGCCACCACCACATCCTCAAAGCATACACAACCTTCCTAAAAGGGACTCCCATCCCCCACACAATCCACCTCCGGCCCGCCCAGCCCCGGCTCCGCAGCCGCAACGACATCAAAACCACCTCTGGACAACCCCGAGCTCAACGAAACCCTAACGGGATCTGCTAAGCGTGTTCCCAAGCATCCATGCCGGCGGCTGGATCGGCTTCCTCTGGACGCTGATCTCGGTGTGGTTCCTTCGACGCACGCGCGTTGACCCCCGCGTGGAAAAGACTGTCCACGTCCCTGCACCTGTACTGGATCATTTGTACGCTGGGGCAGAGGCCAGAGACGTGCGCGTCACTCGTGGGGATTTGTTGATGGGTGTTGTTCGTCGAGTAAGTAAGCATGCTCTATCTATATAATGCTGGGGGAATATGAATCAAATCAAGCCCTTCCAGCACGCATACCTCGCAATGCACGCCCAAACGGCAACGAAGCCATGGTACGTGCGCGACCCCACCCCCTTCAACCCGTGGTATCTTGTGTCCTTGTCGGCGGGGATCCGGTTCGACGGGTTGGAGTTTCTGGGGTTGAGGCCGGCGTGCGTTGAGATGAGGGTTACTACTATGGCTTTTATGTGAGGTGCTTGGGACAAGGGCAGATGGGCTGATTACGGCTTGGGGGGATGGGAGAGGTGAGTTTTCTTGTTAATGGGTGTTGTCATGGGGTGAGGGGGTTGATTCGGGGTGTCTATGTGAAGACATACGTAGCATGTACCTTGTTGTTGTTGTTGTTGTTGTTGTACAGAAAGGATCTGTCTGGTGATAAATTCATTGGTATCAAATTATAAGGCATTCATTAATCGTCGACGAATACACATCATCTGAGTATGTTCAAGACGAGTGAGCCGTCATATGTACAGGCTAATCCAACATAAGAGAATATATTAAGTCGCTGGTTCAGTAGCCACCGTACTTTTAATCTGCTTTCTCCCAGTCTTTACCTGGATAAATCTCATCCAGTTGGTTCATATCCAGCTAGCTCATTTCATCTTAGTAGTTACCCGTATAGGCAGAGCTACCATATCCAAACTTATTCTGGGCCGGCGGAACAGCAGCAGGAGCCTTCTTCTTCCCAAAGAGACCACCAGACTTCTCGCTGTTGTCGCCCAGCTCGACATCGCTCGGCGTCGGGTGACCCGGCAGCATGTCGTCGGCACTGCCGCTATCCGGGTTGTTCTTGTTGCGGCGCCAGAAGGCACGGCGGCGAGTGCCGTAGGTGTATCCGTTGGCCGGGGAGGGGCCGAATCGCTTCTCCCGCTTGTGGTGGCGGGCGTAGAGCACCTGGAACAGGATGGAGCAGAGGAAGAAGAAACTGTTCATGTCAGTGACTGCGTGGCACAAGGCAGGCAGGCAACAGGCTACTCACATTCCAATGATGGCCACGGCAAAGGCGACCTTCTCCAGCTGACAGGCGTACTCGAACGACACCTTGGAGGCGGACTCCTTGCCGCTGGGGCCGGATCCCAGCGGGGTGTCGATCTTCTTCCCCGTGCAGGTCTGGACGCCGTCACGGGTGAGTACGGCGATGGCGATCATGGCGCCGATGAAGGCCACGTCGAGGATGACGGCCATGGCGGCGAAGAAGGCCACACCTCCCACGCAGCAGGTGAAGAGGGTGCCCAGGAGGGCGTAGAGGGCGCTGGCGCCCGCGAGACCCTCGACGGCTCTCATCCATTGCGGGATCTCCTGGTCATGTTTGCTCTGGACGGCCAGGAAGTATGAGTAGATACCGAGGATGACGGCGGCATCGAGGAATTGAAGAATGCGGATGGCGAGGTTCACGAATCGTAGTACGGCGCCGCCAAACCCCATCTTGGCGGTGTTGATTTTTAGCTGGTTTGGGGTTGTTGCTTAATCAGAGAGCCAGTCTCAGGAAAAATCGATCAAGGTGCGTAACAGCGGATGGCAGGCGACAGAAGTATAAATAATGGTTTGACAGGATTTCCACCGAAACGCTGGAGACAAGATGAAAACTCTTAAATTAAGGTAGTAAGGCTGAGACCAACACCATCCAGGGTCTTCCGTCCTCCGAGGAGGAGACCGGTCGCAACTCTAGCCATAGAAGGCAGCAGAATTACATGATTGTTTCGAGACCCAAGCAGACAACAAGGATGGAGCCATTGGAGCAACATTGGAAGCAGATCGGTGGAGGCCCTGATCCTGTGGACAGTGGACAGTGACACAGCCAGGGCGACGATCCACGGATGGAGGAGGGAAGCCGGGTGATATGATTGGGAGATAAGTAAGAAGTGGGAGGAGAAGAAGAAAAACAATAACCTGGAACGAAGAAGGAGTATCCACTCCATAGTCCATCGGACTATCACAACTAGCCAGATGAGACGAAAGTGATGTCATCCCCGTCATGATTGGCCTGACCGCCCTGTGGGACCGGCAGAATCGGTGACTCAGCAGTGCAGCACCCCTGATTAGTCAAGTGCATTACGAGGAATTGTGATTAGTGATTAAACGTGACTATGGACAGCAGTTACTGAGAGGTCTTTCAAGTGGGCCTTCGCACTGCCATCATTACTCCATCCATGGTCTTCTCCCAATTCACATGCATGGTTGTGGTTCCTAAAATTAGGCAATTCCATTTAGGGGGGTCTGTCCCTCCAGTTTCGAGATTTAATTTATTTTTGGGACTCTTGTAACCGCGGATCACTCCGGAAAGACTCCGGAATCCGTCCAGTCCTACCTCGAGGTACTTACTTCTCAGTACTTGTGTTGTTGTAATGTTGACGTCCATCAGCCACACAACGTGACCGACACAGCCACGCCTGCGCCCCTTTGCCGTCATAATGGTCTCATGAAAGCCCCATACAACATGATGTATCCGCAACGCGTGTTCTGTTGTTGGAACGGATCCTGATAGGAGATAGTCCACTATTATTACAACTATTTGCTACCCTACTATCCGTACAAGAAGACGTCACTCACGTAGCTAGCTCACTGACATCCCTGCGCATCCACCAGGATCTTGCAGTAGTTCTCTCGGTCCTCCAACAACGCCTTGAATCCTTTCTCAACCACGTCGTCCATTTTGACCGTCGTCGTGATCATACTCTCCGGCTGCAGTTGTTCTACGGAATTAGTGTCCTACCTTGTATATAGGAGAGGAGAGTTGACATACTTTGGTCCAACGCGCGGATCACATCCTGGAAGGATGCTTCATCATACAGGGCCGATCCCGTATACTTCACCTCGTTGTACATCAGGTCATTCACCCGGATAGCCGGTCGGTTCTCCCACACAGCGATGTTCACAATCGTCCCGTGACTCCGACAGGCGCCGATCGCGCCATTCAGCGCGACTTCCACCCCCGCCGTGTCGAAGATGATATCCGCGCCCATGCCGTCCGTGAGCTCCCGCACCCGCTGCGTGACGTCCACCTCGCGGGGATCCAAGACGTCTGTCGCGCCGAATTCAACCGCCTGTCGTTTCCGGCTGCCCATCATCTCGGACACGATGATCTGCCCGGCCCCGCGCAGCTTCAGCACCTGGATGACGCCAATCCCGATCGGTCCGCTTCCGATCATGAAGACCCGGTCGTTGGGCTTAAGTGGGGAGACGTTGACGGCGTGCCATGCGACCGCCAAGGGCTCGATGAGCGCTGCGCTCTTCAGCGAGATGCTATCCGGGATGGGGTTGAAGTGATCTCCCGGTGCGACGATGAATTTGGATAGACCGCCTCCGTATCCTACCGGCCCACATCAGTATATTTCCCCCCCGATTGTTGCTCACAGGATAGATCGAAGGGACGCACCTGATAATCCGATAAACCCGATATTCTCACAGCAGTAATTGTAGCCCATCTGACAGGCCCGGCACGTCCCATCGTAGATCGTCGGTCGCACGACGACCCGTTGTCCGGGGGATACATGCGTGACGCCCTCTCCGATCTCTTCAACGATGCCGCCGAACTCATGACCCAGTGTAACCGGGTAGGAGGTCCCCGTGAGTGGGTGTGGCTTCTTCGGGATCAATACCGGCCCTGCATTGTATTCGTGGAGATCTACATAGATATTAGTCTTGCGCTTCCTTGTTTCGTCTGGTACATAGGAGGGGAAAGTAGCATGGGAAAACAGGATGGAAAAATGGAGTCGGCTCACCGCTACCGCAGATCCCAACATACGCTGGACGCATCTATATCCCGCCGTTGCGTTAGCGCGTGCCCTCCATCGCCCCATGAGGACACTATATAACAGTTCATTGATTCGCCCATTAGCAACGTACCTTCACCTGCCCCTTCCCACACACAGGTTCGTCGACAACATCGACTCGGATGTCCCCCGGTCCGTGGAAACGAACGGACTTCATGGAATCAGCCGTCTTCATGGAACGATCCGTCTTCAGGGTGGTGTAAAGGGTGTCTGAGTTGGTGGCGGTGCTCGACATGGCTCAAGAATCGCAGTTCTGCGCTGTTTCTTCTGCTACTGAAACTATAGACACTTGAGGGATGTTGTTGTTCGGCTGGCTCTGAAGTTCGTGCGGGGAGCAAATAAAAGTGACGATGTCGTCCGGGGATCGTGGGCTACGGCCTATCGTCTATAGATCTTATATTGCGATATGGTGGGGAGACGTTCTCATGACGTTGACGGACGGTGTTGGCTCAGCGTGACTTAAGGCAGTGCTGGAGAGACAACGACTTGTCTTCATTCAAACTTGTCCTATCGTGAAGCCCTATTGGCTGGGTCCGATGAATTTGTTCATCTGATACCCGCTTTTACACCAGCTATGATGCTAAGATCTAGAGATCGTGCTCGACCGTGGAACCGGACACGATATCCATATCGTCAGATCGATGGGAAGAGTGGACAATTGGCTTTGGACACAAGGTGACCAGGGAAAAGCTGATCAGCTGGACATTGACACCACGGCAGGATGACATCAAAGTTTCCGGGCGTTTGGAAGTACTGTAGGCTCCTGGTTGTGTTCTTTTGCCATCCGCGCGATAGGGATTGTGTGGGGTTACGGGTGTTGTCGTCATAAGCCGGTCGCGAATGGGATTCTGCCGATTTGCCCGCCACGGGTCGACCACGAGGTCGGTCTCGATCTCCTTCGTTCAACCGGTTAGAATTTCACGACGATAAGCAGGGTTATTGGGGGTTACTACAAACCTGCCAGCTTGGAGTGGTGGTAACGGTGGTCCACCAATCAGGTGGTAGTATCTTGCGCGGGCGCGGGGAGATGGGACGGGACTTTGTTCCGCTGTATGAGGGTAGCCTGTGGCTTGCAACAACAGATCAGGCTTCTTCGTCCCGTTCTTGGTCGATAAAAGCACGCAGAATAGACTCCAGTCCTTCGTTGCGGCGAGCCAGTAGCATCACGTCGGAGAGATTGATAGTCGAGCGACCGGCATGTCTAGAACGAATGAGCGCTGGACTTGTGATAGGCTGATCGAGCGATAGCGAGTATTGGCGAGCGACGGTGGAAGGAAAGCCACTCCCAGAGATGCACTTACTTGGCGAATGATTCCAGATCTTGACTGACGGTTTCTGCATCAACCACGGTTAGTTGCCATCAGAGTACACGTTCTTTATAAAAACACCCACAAACAGAAACAATCCACAAATAGAAACACTAAACGAGTAGAAACAACATAGTACGACTGTCAGACACATACCTATTTGCGCCCAGACCATCTCCGTCAAGGCCCCGATAAACTGAGGAGTGGCATTTGCGCCCAATTTGACCGTTTCCTCGTCCACGATTTTTCCGATAGACAGCCAGAGGGCGGACTTGAGGCGCTGTAACATCGAGTAAGAGTTTAGTAGCTGTAGGGAGTATGAAGACTGGAGACATCCCCATACCTCTTCTAGACCGGCTTCTTCAACGTCCATTGTCGGGATTCTGCGAATGGTCAGATATTGAAGTAGCTTCGTGTAGTGATGTCAACGCTTGAGATATATTGACAGGTACGTAGAAACAGTATCAACCAAGCACCAGCAGCACGAGATATTTCGAAGGAAGGTACCTACTCCGTCGAGTCTCTAGAGCATGGATGGCACACGCGAACGACGCGTTCGGGCGTTTCCCGCGGGACAGCCTGTGATTGGCCTATACAATCCCACCGGATAAACTACTAATCCAGCTCCGACGCTAAACCCGGCCCGGAATGAGAAATGAGAGCGTTCCCGAGCGGTCAGTGAATGCGGCCGCTGAGCTGGCCGATCTGCCCTGGTGCCCGGAATCCCGGCATCAAAGTTGCTGTTCTTGCTGGGTCGATTGGTTTCTTCCCCTGGACCTGATTCTGAATAGGATTGTTGTCCTGTTCTGGATTTTCTCTCCATTTTCTCTTTTCTACCAGGGATATTCTTCTTGTGTCTCTATTTACTCCCTTATCTATATTATCTTCCCACACAGGAGCGCAACCCCCACCTTCACCGCTAGCCTACTATCCCTACGTCTCAGTCCGCCCCTCTAAAAAACAACCACCACCACCACACACTCCCACAAACCCCTAAAAAGAAAGAAAGAAAGAAAGAAAATGGCCACCCGCGACCCCGGCGAACTCGCCGCCGACGCAGCCTCCGACTTCTTCCACCAAATCTACACCTTCCTCGAAACGATCGTCCTCCGCTTCGTGAAAAACTTCTACGGCTCCTTCGCAAATGTGAGCGTCAACCGCTGGACGAAAGTCATCCTCTCCGTGGTCGGCTACCTCATCGCACGCCCCTACATCGAGGCCCTCTTCAAGAAGATGGGCGAGCGCGATCGCAGAAAGCAGCTGGAGAAGGAGAGGAAGAAGAAGGCGGAGGCGGAAGCCGGCGGGAAGGCCAAGGTGTCTGCTAATTCGTTGCGCGGTGGGGGTAAGGCTGCTGGGGAGGGCAAGGTGCTTGGTGAGGTGGAGAACACGGATGATGAGCTGGAGAATGAGGAGGGGGCGGAGGATGAGGTCGATTTTGCGACTTCTAGTGGCGTGCCGGAGTTTGCGGATAATGCGCGCAGAAGGCAGAAGAAGCATGCGAAGAGCTTGAATAAGGAGTCGAAGGGGAAGGCGACGCTTTCGGAGGATAAGCTGATGGAGTTGTTGGATTGGAGTGATTCGGAGGGTGAGGCTACGCCTGCGAAGGAGCAGGCTGCGAAGGATGAGTGAGTGTTTGCCGAGACTGCTTTGCTTAATGTGTGGACACATCATCTTTTTCTAGGAGATAAGGAAAGATTAATGTGGTTGTGCAGCACTTAATGAGTTCTAATTGTCTTTTTGTGATGTCTTGATCGTGTATCTTATACTGTGACCCCTTGCCATATTCTGTGCGTTGCCAAAGGCTCATGTACTATATAATCCATCTACCATAGATTTCCAACTAAATATTTGAAGCATTCCTACAGTCCCCTAGTATGACCCCTATACTCCAAAGAGAGCTACAGTCTACAAAAGTACATGTCAACCACACATGTATAAACCAATCAATAAACCTCATAAATCATACGCATAACAGGACCAGCATCTCACAGCCCAACAGGCGAGAAGAACAACAGAAACGACTCTAGTCCGAATATCTCAAAGGCGTAATCAATGCAACCTTCTCAACCCCTCAATCAACCCCTTCACCTCATCCACATCCCCCGCCCCCACGGAGCTAACAATCTCCTCCTGCAAAGCTGCCTCGCAAGTCAAAAACCGCTCGATCAGCTCCCCGTCCACAAACCGGTAGGGCTCCTTCGCTTCCCGCGTCATTGTGTGGAATCCGCGGTATTCGTTGAACGGCATGTCGCCGAGGGACGTGAGGCGGGCCGCCATTGTGGCTTGCAGACGCATGAGGAAGTCTTGGTGTTCGGGGCTGATCATCGCGAAGAGGTAGATTGAGCCTTCGACCTGTTTTTTTCAAGTAGGAATGTTAGATTATGGGACTGGACTGGCGTGGAGTGAACTTGGGGGGGGGATGAGAAGAGACGTACGGTCCCCAAAAACGCCCTCGGCGTGATGACCACATTCCCCGCCTGCTGCACATTAACCGGTCGAATGCGATTAACCATCTCGCCCATTGAAATCTCCCCCGTAACTTCCAGTCTCCGCTTATCGTCCTCCTCAACGCCTGTAAGATTCCTTCGGAGAACAATCAGGTTCCCCTCGGCGTCGCTCTCGAGGAACGTATCCTCCGCGATACAGCACACAGCGGTCGCCCAGACGGTCTGGAAGTGCCGTGCCACTTCTGTCAAGGTATCCGGGAGGCCGCCCTCGCCTTCTTTGTACTCCACGAGACAGAGACTCTTCATGAGGTCCGAGACGGCGATTACGTTGCCTGTTACTGTTAGGTCAACTGGTGCGGTCGAGGTGCGGTAGCTGGCGAGTTTTTCGATCTTGGTTGCGCTGAGTCGGTCGTTTATGACTTTGTAGATTACGACCTGCGACGGGGTTAGTAGTCTGCTTTGTATAAAGAGAAAAAGAAGAAAGTGTGGCCTACCGTCTTCACAAGCGCAGCTACAATCTTATCACCAAGCATAGCCAGCGCCCGACACGCCCCTCTAACAGGGAGCTCTCCAACCTGCGTAAGTCTTCTTCCATTGTCAACCTCGAAGATGAGGATGCGTCCCCGGATGGACTCCTCATCGCCATCATCATCCAGATACGCCGTCCCAACAATAAACCGATCCTTGAAAGCGTCTCGTCCGCTTTCGTCCTTTCCAACCGGGAACTCCGCGCGGATAACACTCTCGACCAGCTCCTCCGGCCGCAAACTGAAATAGTCTAGCCGCCGGAAGAGGATCTCGTCCGCGAGGACAAACCGGCTCGTGACGACTTCCGCGCCGTCCTTAAGCTTGCGCTCGATAGTACCAATTCCGAAGGCTTTCTCGGACGGCGAGTACGCGACCCTACGGACTGTCGCGCCGATAGGGAGAGTCTGGATCTGAGTCGTCCGCTCTTTATCAACTAAGGCGATCTTCAGTTCCTGCGCCGTAGCCATCGCGATGGAACCGGGGTATGCTTCGGAGTTAAAGTGGCAGATCCGCGAGGCGCCCTCGGAGTTCACGGCGGAGTAGATCACGCGGCCTTCGGAGCCGTAGATCAGGCTTGGGTTCTCGCAGGTCGCGAACACATTGTAGAGCCCATCACCTCGCGGGAGCCTTTTGAAGGTTGGTTGCTCTGAACCGAGGATCAGCTTGTTCATCCCTGTGAGAGTGTACTCTTGTGGGTTGAACGAGTAGGTGATGACACTGCCGTCGGCCATTGAGACAAAGAGGGTTGGCGGGCTGTTTGCGAGTACGTCCGCGACGAGCACGGAGCGCGGGAAGGCTTCGCCTGCTGGGCCGAGTGATGTTTTGTGTAGCTCAGAGAGGTCTTGGAGTTTCAGGACGGAAACTTGGGCTAGCTGTGGGAATCCCACTATGCAGACATCTGCCGGGGACGATAGGACCGTCACGCCGGAGATCTGGCAGTCTGTGCCAAAGTGCTTCTGCGCGATGACTTGTGCTTCGTTCTTGATGTCCAGAACGGTAACCAGTTCGCCGTCGACAACGAGCACGGCCGATGATTCGTTGGCAGAGGCGGCAGTGACGATCTTCTGATCCGGTGGTGTCCATTCGTTGGTGACCATGCCGCTTTCGACGTCCGCGATGAGGACCCTTCTTTCGGTCACCTGGAGGATCCGTCCTCCGGGCAGGTTGGCCGCGAGCAGCGTAGATTCCGAGAGACTTAGCCCCAGGAGTTGTTCCAGCTCTTCAACTTCGCCGTCGGGGCTAAAGGAGAATACTCTGGTTTCGTCCACAAAGCTGACGAGGAGGGTATCCAGATAGTCTCCCTTGGCCTGCACCTGTAATCCGAACAGGTCGGTGATGTGCCCGATGTCGCCCAGGACGCCCAGCTCCTCCATACCCACACCGCTACGGACGCTTCTCAATGTCCCATCGTCAAACGCACCCGAGCCTGTGACAATCCGAGCTTGGCCTGACGAGAACTCATGGGTATAGCTCTCGCTTGCGCGGTTACCAAGATCCATGATAGTGAAATCCAGAATAGGGGCAATGTTATGCAGGGTCTGCACCACCTCGAAAGAACCGTCCCCGATTCGAAGGACCTGAGAATCGCCATGGTGCGAGCCCACGAAGACTATCCCGCCGCCAAGATATACCAGGGTAGACGCTCTAGACGTGTTCCCCAGCTGATGAAGGTCCCATTCTTCCACTAGGCTTTCAGAGCCAAGCTTCAGCACCAGGAAAAACAGCCTCCCGTAGTCATCGGCAAGCAGCCATCGCTGGCCGTCTACTTGCTCCCAGGCCACGAAGACGGTCGACTCAGCTAGAGACCGGGAGATGAGCTCGTTGTTGTCGTCGTCGACGTACTTGATAGACGTTTCGCCGATAATGAGGAAGCCACCTATTCACGTTAGCCTCAACGACCATTCACAATTCAAGATAAAAGAAAGAAGGAAACAAACCCAACGGAGCAGGCACCGGAATCAAATGTGAAGCCCCCAAATCCAACTCCTGCGCAAAATCCGCAATGTGCGCAAACGTCGCATCGGCACTCGAGCTCATCGTCGCAGCCGTATACTGCAACTCCCTAACACTCAACCTCACCTTCTTCTGACTATCCTCATACAGCAGCGCCAACCTCGGCGCGCCCGACTGCACATGCAGAAAGGTCGACGACCGCACGAACAGCTCATCTATCCTCGCCGTCGTCAGCTCGCCCAGCTCGCCCACCTGCGGCGCGTCAGGGCCGGACGGCAGCGCGGGCGCCCGTCCCCTCCTTTTGCCCGGTAGCTGCACGATTGGTATCACGGCGATCAGGCCCTCGTACATCTCCAGCGTCATGAACCGTCCGCTGGGGTCGATCAGGCACCGATTTCCCATTAGGGGTTGGCGGGATGCCGGGTCCGAGACGTCGACGTAGCTCCGTTGCGTGCGGATCTGGTTTGTCGAGCTATCCCATGCTAGCGTGCAGTATGTGTAGCGGTCTGTGCCGACGAAGAGGTGGTCTGTTGGGGAGTTGGCGGGCGCGGGCAGTCGTGCGAGCATTGTTACCCGAGCGTTGAGGGCACATGATGCTGCGAGACTTAGGCCGTCTGGGGTGAGGGCGTAGACTTCGAGTCGGTTGACTTTTCTGCAGGACCGTATTGTTAGCTTGACTAGCTTATGTTCCTCCCTCGACACCGAGGGCGGGCGTCGCATGGGGAGAAGGGAGAGGGGCTCACTAACGCGACGATCAAGCTCTCCTCCTCGGGTTTCATAAACTGCAGCTTCAGGGCATGGCGAATACTGCTCGCTTGGTGGATTGGCACGACATAGGACATGTTGCGTCGGTGGGTGCTATTTCTCGAGGAGCGTTTTCGGTGCGAGCGCTCTCCGCATTAGAGGCACAGCTCGGATGATCGCGCGACCACAGCTGATCCCGACCGCCTAGCGATAATGGTTGCGAGGCACTGTCGGGGGAATTATTCTAATACAATACACTTTAGGGATGATGTGTGTATGTGAGGTTTTCTGTGTAAGGGCGTGCTCTCAGTGTGGTCCGTAGAAAGGACTGGAGAAGTGGGGTGGAGAGGAGTTGGAGCTGGCAGGATTGAGACTCCGCGTTTAGAGTGAGTGAATGACGAAGGTTGCGGTTCTTGTACCTTCCAGGCCTTTTAACTCCGCTTTATTCCCGAACTGGCCTCTCGAACTGCTTTGGTTCCTACTTGACCATGTTCAACATACTGTTGGTGAGAAATACAAAACGAGGATGAAAACAAATATTAAGGAATAATTGACCTCGAACAGCGCGGGGTTGAAACGCCTACCACGCTTATACACAACCAACTAGAATTAAGAAATGAAAGAAAGGGAGTGATGAGTATTGAAATATTTCAATTAAATATGTATAACTCCCTACCAAACCAGCAGGGCATGATAATTCCACACAAATCTCTCCAAAAAAGCCCTTGGCCAATTGACCTCTTTTCTATCCTATTCTTTCCATCGGGTAAATCGACTGTGCGAAAGGTCAAAAAAACTTCACAATCATACAAGAATCACGCCATGGAGCTCAAAACGTGGAGAAAAAAATTGTTTGGCGGAGTATATATGCGAGCATCATCTAAACGTGAAAAAAAAAGAAGGAAGTCGTGGCACAATAATGTTAGGAAGTGGGACCAAGAAATGAAATAGGTGGTATCACGACCAGACGTCTTCTTGGTAGCTGCCGCTGCTCCGCATGTGCTTGACCATCTCCTCGCCCTTTTCGGCGGGGAGACCGCGCTGCTTCGCGATGATCTGGCCGAGAACCAGGTTCACTTCGCGGGCCATGTTGGCGGCGTCGCCGCAGACGTAGAACGTGGCCTTTTGCTTCAGGAGGTCGCTGACGAGCTCGGAGTTTTCGCGCAGTCGGTGCTGGACGTACACCTTCTGGGATGACTCACGCGAGAAGGCGGTGATAATCTTCAGCGAGTCGCCGAGTTGCTCTTGGTAGGTCTAGAGGTCATGAGGGTCAGCTATCAAGCACATCAATAGGCGGTGGTGGATGAGGGAATATACCTTGAATTCGTCCTGGTAGAGGAAGTCCTCGTCGCTCTTGCGGCACCCGAAGAACAGCAGAGTCGTGCCAACCTTTTCGCCCTTGGCGGCCAAGGCAGCGCGCTCCTGGATGAAACCACGGAAGGGCGCGACACCGGTGCCAGGACCAACCATGATGATCGGTTTCGACGGGTCGGAGGGCAGCTTGAAGTTCGAGTGACGGACGTGGACGGGGACGTGGATACCATCGTACTTGTTGCGGGGGCCAGTGATCGAGTAGGTCAATCCATGGGTGTCGGGGGAAGGATCGCCGTTCTGCTTCTGCTTCAGAGCAAACAGGTAGTTGGTGGTCACACCCTTGACGATGTGCGATTCACCAGGCAAGCGGACCGACTCGACAACAGCGGTAATGCTGATCTTATCCTTTTGCACGAGAGACGAGGACGAGATGGAGTAGTAACGGGGTTGCAGCTTGGTGAGGCCTTCGATGACGAGGGAGAACGGAACGGCAGTGAACGGCTTGGGAGTGATGGTCTGAAGAGCCTGCGCGATGTTGAAGCACCGGTTGGTGATCTTTTCGTGGAAGTAGTCCTTGTCGCTACCCAGGCGCACAATCTCGGCCTTGCTCTCCTCATCGGGGGCAAACGCGGCGAGAGTCGACACGAATTGACGAGACACAGGGGCACAGACTTCGAGGTAGTAGCGGACGGCGGCATCGTAGGTGGTGGGCGTGGGAATGGGAACCTTGGCGGTCACATCGAGACCCTTGAGGTTCACAACGGTATGACGCTTGCCTTCGAGACCAAAGACCTGCAGGAATCGGTCGACCTCGGCGCCGGCGTTGGTGGGCCAAATCGCGATGTGGTCACCAGTCTGGTAGGTGAGGTTGCTTCCGGCGATGCTAATTTCCATGTGCAGACAGTTACGATCCTTGACGTTGAAGAGCTCGGTAGACTCAACGATGGGGGCGATGAACGGGTTGTGGGCGGAGAAGGGACCGTTGGCGTTGCCTTGAAGGTGGCCCTGGGTGGGCTCGCCGAGGTAGACGGTGTCATCTTCGGGGCTCAGAGACTCATCTTCCTCGACGTTGAACACGGGCTCGTAGACGGCCTCGCGCTCCTGCAGGTTCATCGCCTCGGAGAGCGCGGTCCACATGGGCTCCTTCCAGGCCAAGAAGTCTTCTTCCATTGTGCCGGCGCCGTCGTCGCCTTCACCCGCAGTTCCAATACGGTTGGCGCCGAGATTCCGAAGAGCCGTATCCACCTGACGGACCATCGCGTTGTAATGCTCGTAGGTGTTGTTACCGAGACCGAAAGTGACAAAGTTGAGGGAGGACAGAGGCTTCTCCTCGGCGGCGGCGCCACTCTCGAACGCGACGTCTTCACCGGTAAAGAACTGATAAAATTCCACCGCATTGTCGGTCGGCTCTCCCTCACCATAGGTGGCGAGAACGAAGAAAGCAACCTTATCCTCGGGGAACTTGTCCAGGTTTTCGTAGTCATAGTCTTCCAAATCGGCCACCATGGTCTTAAGGCCGAATCGCTGCGAACCTTCCTTGGCGAGTCTGGAGGCGTAGTCTTCCGCCGTTCCAGTCTGCGAACCGTAAAAGATCACACAGTTTTTTCCCGTTTCGTCCATCTTTTCGATGATGTCGCGTGATTTTCCGCCGGCGGCGGCACCATTCATCGCAGCGCCGGAGGTCGCATAAGGGTCCTTGGGGACCCCCCAATAGACTCCTTTGCTGAAATAAGCGACGGAGCCCACGAGGAGGACGACCAAGACGACCATGTCGAGGGTGTCGAGTTGCGCCATGATCGCGGATCTTTGTTTGTGTCCAAAGAGCGGAGATTGAAGAGGGGGTCAAGAATGGAAAGACACCGTCAGCCGACGCGGACAAGAGATAAGAACCCCCTGATTCCACCGGTCGATAAACGTTGGGAGGACCGGAATCCGCGTGGGAAAGTAAATCAATCCCGATTCAAGGGGGAAAAAAAAAAAAAGAGGGGGGAAGAACAAGAAGAAAAGAAGAAAAGAACAAGAAAAGAAGAAAGAAGAAAAGAAAGAAAAGGGAGTAAAAAAGGTACAGGAAGAGACCCCAAAGAGCCGAAGGGAAAGCGGAGGAGGGAAAGGGAAGAGAAGTCGTGGTCTGATCTAAGCAGCCGACCGCATACTTAGTCGGGAGCCGCTAACCGGAGAAGATGCGTAAAATTGCAGCAAAGAGGAGAAACACTAGGGGAGAAAGAGGAAATGCCCAAGGCGATCGTGGCCTTTCCGATGCAATCTTCATTACTATATGTCAGCGAAACGGTCTCTCACTTTTTAGTCTTAATCGAGCAGGGTGGGTGGCGGGAGAAATCCCGAGGACAATGGGATTTAACGAGACAGGGAGACAGGGGAGTGCAGGTGAAGTGCCATGCACATACCTTGTTGAATGGCCTGTTGAACGCAAGGGTAGTCACGGACTAGTCAGAGCGACAGTACAGACTATATTTCACAGACGTTGAAAGGCGGGAAATTTCAAGAAGTAAGAAAGGCACCGAATAGCGTCAGCCCCCGGTATTATATATCCACGAGACCGTGTGGGGAAGTCCGGCATAGACCAAGGTGAAGTCTGTGGTTCGGAAGGGAGTTCGGCGCTCAGCAATACACCTTAGTACATCGTTAGTACTATAGTAGACTAAGACTATAGTCAAGAAGAAGAGGATCAGATGGAGATTTCCCGAGTATCCTGCCGAACGGGGATCCTAGCCGAGTTCCGCCTTTCAACTGCCTTTCCTTTCCTTTGTTTGCCAGATTATCACACAGTACGGAGAATCATTGGAGATAAGAAGCCAAAGAGCCATGGTATGTAGCGGGGAAATTCAGGCGGCAAACCCAGTAATTGTGCATTTCTAGTGTATCCATACTCGGTACATCCATGTGACTCTCCCGCACCACTTAGTAGTACTGAGGAACTAGGATGCTGTACAGCCTTGTCGATCTTAGGAATGTGAAGATTGTTCTCCTCTAAAATCCAGTATCAATCATTGACACATGTGCTAGAAACCTTAGCACTGGTCATCATTGGTTCCTCCATTGCATTAAGGCTCTTGGAGACACTCCGTATCTGCAGGCATTCCGCCGAAAGTTCCGTCTCCGCCACCAGAAACATGCACCTACTGGGCGTCCCACGGACTTCCGACACCTGGATTTTGGACAGGACGGGCTGATTCCGCATGCTGCGGCTCTTGATCCGCCACTCGGTGCTTGGACCAGTCCCCGCAATCAAACAAGATCTACGGAGCATTGTTCGGATAATAGGACTATCAGTGTCACAACACTTGGGGTATTCGAGACACTGATGAGTAGAGTATGTGGTGAGAATAAGGATTATGTAAGATCATTCTAATCATGGAGTATTTATATACCGATCTAGTATCGCCATGCGCATACTTCGGTGCTTTACTGCTATTCTATTCTATCCTAGAAGTAGTCGAATGAGCTATGTTCTTTCCCTGTACTTAATAATACCTGCAAGGTTGATTGCTCCAACTTCGGGTGCTCATAGGTGGACAACCGATCCGGACCCGAACGAAACTTTTCTTGGTGGAGGCGGCTATCTTCAAAAATATATATCTCTCTCTTCGTTGACGATGTTCAATGCCGAAAGAAAGTCCCAGCAAATATCAAAACCTCGCTATTTGTTTCTGTATAATGCACAAAATAGATCTAAACACACGAGGATTAAACTTGACTTACCCGAGTTTACTGAAGAGACTTAATCAAAGAGGGTCGCCTTGATAAAGAACAAGTTACATACATACTTCATAATACTGCATGGACCAGCATCATAGGCCATCAATATCCCAATCAAATCTATGTTTGTTAGTAGAATGACCTCTTGTAGTTGCTGAAGTTTCGGCGCTATCAGGCAGTGTATCAAATTAGTAGCATATGCAGTGCTATAGACCAAGTGAGTCAGACATACTTGTGTTACCAACAGTGGCCCACTAATATAGGGATGAGATATAAATGTCAAACAAAAATATTACCAGGCGCACGTTCTCGTGTCTTCAATATAACAGCCACCCAATTCTACGAACTAGTCACAGACAAGGGACCAAGACCACGGAGCTCGATTTTGAGGGCATCCGTGCTGAGGTGATTGTCTACCGAGCCTGAAACCAACACGGGGCAAACTATACATCGTTGATCTCCCTCGAACTGAAACACTCGCCCCACAGCTGTATCAACAGAAAATCATGGCAAAACCTCCTCCCCCTTCCAGTCCCAGCATCTGCCCCTTCCCTCATCAGGACCAGCCCCCATTGCACAGATCACCCGAAGCAATCTGTCCGCGGCCTCGTGGGGCTGCAGCATATCTCGACCTCCCCAATAATTCCTCGTGAAATCAGTCTGCACTGTCCCCGGGTGCATCGCAAGAGCCAACGCACGATCTCTACTCCGGGTGCGCAGATGCAAGTCGAACGTCTTCGCTAGCTGAAAGACGGCTGCTTTGCTGGCGCGGTAGGAGTACCACCCTCCTGTTGCGTTATCTGATATAGACCCCACCCGCGCGGCCATCATTGCGTAGACTGCATGTGTTGGTAGTTGAAGTGAGCCCTCTGGATGTGAAGGAGAAGACGAAGTGTCCGAGAATGGGCCCGCTGACTTGGTTGGTAGAAGTGGGGAGAGGTGCTTCATTAGCAACATAGGAGCAAGGGAATTGGTCTTGAAGCTATCTAGAGCTTTCAAGTAATCAATCTGCGACGGTGTCTTTTCCACGTGGAGTGTACCGGGCACGGTTATCGCCAGCCGTAACTGGGTGTCAGGGTGTATATCCTGTATTCTGGACACCATGGACGAAATGGCCGATTCATCTGGGTGGCTCTTTAGAGATTGATCTCTGGGACAGTGGATAGGTGTGTAATTTACCGGTCACATCGGCCTTGAATACATGTAGTCTCTCGTCTGCTTTTTGGGAGGCAGGCACATCGTTGATGAGCTCTGACCGCACCTTGTCGCAGTCCCTTCGTGCGGTTGCGATCACTGGGAGGTTGGTCTGGGCCAGCAATTGTCGCGCAAAGGCGAACCCCAGGCCTCGTGAGGCTGGTGTTACAATGGCGAAGCCGGACGCCATTCGAATGTTTTGCTTTGTACTATTTTGTAAGATGTCGATGGCAGGATATATATTGAAGGTTATAGATGCTACTGGAGATCGCATTCCGACTGTTGCTAGGACCATATGTCTAATGACGTCATTCATCCTATAGATCAGGAGTAGTGATCGTTGATTAACTGGTTCGATCTTTTGTCCATGGTTCCTATACTGAAGAGGAATATGAACTGAGCAATAGACCCATATTTATTTGGAAACAGAGTATCAGTGTCTGTCTTTCGGCAGGCGTACCTCCATCAAAGACTGAATTGCTGGGTTAAGCATTCAATTCCTATGGAGTAAACCCTCGAGTCGGCCCATTATTCGAGTAGTACTTGCACTGTGTCCACTTGAGAGTAACCCAGCCTACCTCGGAAGCTGTGTGAAATGCTATACTGAGGAAAAGTAACATAAACTGGCTGTCGGCATGGGGCCTGCCCTCATACCTAGTAGATAAGATGGATCATCCCCCCTTACTGATTCTCACCACATCTGCCCACCCACTCGCCCACTCGCTCCCCATTCCATTCCACAGTGCCCCTTTCCATACCCGTCATAATACACATTATGATGGCAGCAATTGACCAAATCCAGCAGTTGTGATCGTTAGTTATACCCGGACCCAGTAATAACTGTAAATCTTTCCCAAAACCAGCCGCCTCGATCCCCTCCCTGACTCGAGTTGGATGCGAACAGGCTTGGCACCGGTTAATCTTGGACGTTGCAGGTCAAAACCGCGTGGTAATCCCTGTCTCCCTAGTTCATTCCTGACGTGACTTGGATTGGTGCCTGGCAATAGAAGTTACTGGAATGCGGATGGCTGGTGAGCATCAGAAACAAGCCTGCGTTGTTAGACCTTCTCCACACCCCTTCTCATCCATCGAGGTCTCAAACCGCCAACATGTTTGAGTGGTTTCAAGGGATCCTTCGTTGCATACGCCGGTCCCCCTTTTTTTTCTCTTTGGTTGTACTCCGGACTCCATAGCTCGGAAGTATTCAGTCTCAACTATGAATAAACACTGGAGATATACTCCCCTTTTTTGTTCTATGGAGATGATCATCGAAACCCCTTCCCAATGTAGGTTAGTAACGGGGAACTTACCAGCCACTGGACCACCGAAAAAAAACCCATGGCAAGTTAGATAATCAGCGGCGACTTCGGGCTTATCCATGCCCAGACATTCTACTCCATGAGACAGATTCAGGTCGGAATTCGCGTGAATCGAGGTACAGTAAGATATGTATTAGTAGAATAAACAGTAAGAAACCGCATAAGCCAAAGACATGGTGTTTCAGGGGTTGTCAGCACTCAGCGTGGTATGAATGGTTCTGTACGAGAAGGCTCTCAACTGATCCCGTGCGCCCGGTCGCTCGCGAAACGTTCACCATCTTTCCCCAGTCATCCCAATGCTTATCATCACGGTGTGAGAAACACCCCCAGATCACTTCTCATCTTGCCGCGTTGGCGCCTTTTCGAGCTGTTGAGCAACAATGCACTGTTCACGAATGCTCTCCTTTTGTATTGCTCCTAGTGGATGTGAGGTCCAGCCGGCACCGTGCCTGGTTTGAATCGAAAGCCGCAGTCTGACAGTAAGTTGTGACTCCTGATCGGTTCGCATGTCAGATCGACAGGAAAGTCTCTCGCCCAGGCAAGGCTCGCGACACGTGAGCCAACGGCGCCATGGACGCTGTTGATCTTGGACACGCGAGATCGACCTCAGACAGAACAGACTTCTGACTTGATGCATGCGCAGTGGCCTCCAATCCATCGATTAAAGCTGGCCCCGTCCAGCCAACCGCAATGCCCCTCATCCCTGACGAGGCGAATTTGATGTCGCACCATAACTTTTCCTCCCCACCAGAACGATTGGTAACCAGGAGCACACCGGCGTCGGCAGTTCACAGTCGGGAGGCCTCCGCTGTTAGAGGACGCCCGGCCGACCTATCCGCGCTAACCCCTTCGACGCTTCAACCGCAGAACAACCGCCGGGGCCAGTCCCATTCCAAAAGTCCCGAAACCTCGTCCGGACGCCCCGGTGCTGGCTACGATGCCGGCCTCGAACGACGCACGTCGAACTCGTACGGCCACCACCGACAGACCTCCATCGTACATGGGGTGCAACACTCCCGAAACCCCAGCCACGCCAACTCGTCCGGTTCAAATAATCCCCTGAGTCCGGAATTGATCACGTCGCTTGCTCGCAGTGGTGGGACCGGAATGGAACAAGACAATGCCGCGCGGATGGAGCAGTCGGATGCGCACCCTGGTGTGAACGGGACGAGCCATCCTTTGCAGGGGACACTGAGCACCATCGCGGATCAGGATTCGGATGGGCTCGCGGCTGGGAGTCCGGCGCACACGTTTCATAGAAGGATGAATTCGAGTGGGAAGTCATGGCGCGATCGATCCCATAGCCGCTCGCAGTCGAGACACCACCACTCCGAATCCAAGACGGTGGGGGAATATGCGTTACACCATCTGTTCAACTCGGTAAGCGCATGCCCTCTTTATTGAATTGAGTCGGCTTACTGACGGCGGGAAACAGTTTGTGGGCCAGGCAGATAATAAGATCAACCAAGCCATCATGAAGTTGGGGGAGTCGGACGCCCCGGTGGAAGAGGTATGCGGACCAGGCGCCGATGCCAGCTTTGACCAGTTGATATCGGCATTGGGGCATATTGCACGGCAAAAGCCAAAGCCGTTGATTGATACCATCATGCTTTGGCGCAAGGCCAAAGGCGATTCCGCTATCATGGCAAAGCAAATCGCCTCTAATCAGGTATGCTTTGGCGATATCCCTTGAGCTTTTAAGATGGGGTCTTTCCGGCTAATTCACATCCGTCGCAACTAGTCAAAAATGGCACCCCCGGAGAACGGCCTTCTCATAAGGCGGAATACCGAACCTCCACAGTCCGCTGCGGAGTCAACTACGCATACTGATACTACCACTCCCCCGAATTCACTCCTTTCCAGACACGATGATGTCGTGCTGGCAGAGCGGCGCGCGACAGTCTCGGTTTACCTTGTCTGCAGAGTCTTAATGGAGATATTCAACCAGAGTAGTCTTGCTTCTATAACCATCGACATGGCAGACCGGTTGGAGGATATCGTGTTTGGCCAGCTCAAGACCGTTGATCCCGACCAGATCGCGGCATCAAGGCTGCGCATGGCGAACTGGCGGATCTATGCTCAACTTCTGGGGATCATGAGCGACTCGAATTTCGTGAGTGTCACGAACCGATTCGTGGCTGAACTGGAGAAGCACCAGAAGGACGACTCTCTCCGCGGGCCCTCGAAGGAAGGCGACTCCAAGGCCGAACTTTTGATTTTCGGAATGAGACACATTCGAATTGGCATCAATCCCGAAGCATGGCCTAAATCGTGCGACTTTCTCCGGGCGCTGGCGCGTTTGTTTGTCAGTTCTCATGGACAGCGGGTGAAGCAGGCTTATTGCTATATCCTTGAGAAGCTACTTCTTCCCGTCGCGGCAAATCCTAGCTGTGATTTATCGCTGCCTAGGTGGAAGGAGTTTTTGGAGTTGGTCCAGCCGCGCTTGTCGCAGATGCTGGCCAAACCTCGCCATTGGGCTGCCTCTTTCCCTCTCTATGTTCTACTGCTCTGCGTGTCGCCGAAGGAGAACTTCTCATCTCAATGGCTTTCAGTCATCCAGAGTCTGCCGGCTAAGCTGAAGGACCGTCCCACCCGGGGCCCAGCTCTCCAGGCCATGTGCCGTCTCCTGTGGACCTATTTCTTCCGCTATTCCGAGTCGCCGACCGCGACACTTCGCAAAGTCGAGGAAGTCTCGAGGATAGCGCTGCCCCCCGGCAAACGGACATACTTAAGCACGGAGCCATCAGTCGCGGAACCTTTGATCCATTTGGTGCGGATGATCGGGTTTAAACATCCAGACGTTTGTTTCCGCAACATTATCTTCCCCCTGATAAACTCGGATCTCTTTTTGTCCCCGAAGGAACTGAAGATCGAGCAAATGGAACCGGAGAAGATGGTCATTGGCATCAGGTCTTTCCTGTCTATCTTGACTGATCTGGAGACCTGCGACCAACTTTGCCCTCCGGTTCCCACCGGTTCTATCCCCAACCCGTTCACCGATGTTTCGACCGCTACGTACTCACATCGACCGCATTTTGTTGCCGACCTACGATCGCCAAATGTATTGGAGAGTCGGGAAGAGGGCTTGTCGCATGCCGTCAACATTGCTAGACTGAGTGACAACGTCAAGAGTGCCTACATCCGGTTTTGTGAGATTCTCGGTAAAATCACGCTTCTGTGCGACAACACCTTCGGCGGCCAGGCGGCGCTGGATGAGAAGTTCGGTGGCGTAACGCCGAAAACACCCATATCGGAAGCGTTCAGCTTTGGGAGACGTGATGATCATTTCAGCGCCGGAGATCAAAAGCAAGGCTTCTATGACCTGCTTCACGTTGCTGTCCAAGCGCTCCCTCGCTGTCTGTCGGATCACATCCCGTTCAACTCCTTGATCAATCTGCTTTGCACCGGGACGGCTCATATCCAATCCAACATTGCCTTCTCATCCGCAGAGTCGCTGAAAGCCATCGCCCGGCAGTCTCACGCACAGCAGGTTACCATTGGCTTTGCCCGATTCATTTTCAACTTCGATGCTCGATATTCAACAATGTCAGACGAAGGCATGTTGGGACCGGGCCATATCGAGTCTACCCTGCGACTCTATGTTGAGCTGCTGAGAATTTGGATAGAAGAGATCAAGCAAAAGACCAAGGGTGCAACCCAGGACTCAAATGAAAAGGGCAGTGGCTCTGGAAGCCGTGCGTTACACCTCGATCTTTCCAGCGTTCTGGCACATGTAGAGGAAATCGAGTCCCACGGTCTATTCTTCTTGTGCTCCCAGTCCAGAAGAGTCAGAGCGTTTGCGATCACGGTGCTGCGTCTCATCACCGAATTCGACAGCGCCCTCGGGAAAGACAATACCAGAATTATCAGGATCCTCGAGGCCGACTCTCAGCAGATCTTGGATGTCAACGACGAGCAACTCA